GCCGGGAGAATGGGATACAGAACATCAAGATGCGTTTTGAAGCACCCACAGCCATGTTTTTGAACTTTCGGGCATCTTATCTTCCACGACTGTCCTGGTTGAAACGCGACCCATTGCATGACGAGGAGTTTGGTCCCGCGCTGGTCCTGCGGCGATCTGACGCCGTCATGGGATTGATGGATAGATCCATTGGATCATGGTTTTTTCACCAAAAGGGGTCAAAATTGGTCAATACAGGGAACACAAACTGGTTAAAACCGGGAGCCAGGCAGTTGAACACCTAGAGGACATTAGTAATTATCATAGAAGGTTTTTTTGTGTCAGTAAGGACTAGTATGGACTATTGATGGACCGCAGGCAGTCCTGCAGTTCAAGGATTGATTCGGACGTGTTGGTCCATTCAATTTGGTGATCAGAGGAACACAGCGTTCCTGGAAAGTGCAACCATTGGCATGTTTCTCAAATGTTTCTCAAAGGAACACGGGATAGGTTCATTCTCAACTCAGAAACTACACAACATTGCGGTACATGTTCGATGTCTAATAGTGAAGTACGCAGAATAAACATGATGTAATCCCCAAAAAGATAGAAAACTATGAAAAGCTCTACTCTATCACTAGTTCAGTGGGATTTTACTTCTTTTTTGTTGGGGGGGTTTACTGCAGCGACTATCCATTCAAAACGCTTGCGCCTTTTCCAGCTGACCCGCAGTGCCTTTTTCGGGTGGTGGTGACCAAATGACAACTGGGTGAACTGTCATATGGTTTCTCCAAAATTTGGCATGCCCCCAACTTGTGGCAATTCAATGTTTCTTTTTTTTGTGATGGTTAAATTGATGGTTTTTTATGGCCGATTTTGACATTCAACCCAGTCGAGAAAAGTGTTTTCCCCACCCGATTCTTTTCCATGTGGTATTGCCGGCGATGGCACCATATCCCCTGTGATCCCCATGGCTCCAAGGTTGCTGGCGAGCCGTGATATTCCTAGCCAGAAAAAAAAACATGTATATCAGTATATCATTACATAACATCAGATATATGTATATGTATATATATATATGTATATAATATAGCCAGAAAAAAACTGGATGGTTTGGAGCCTTTCTAGTTAGAGGATTGATTAGTCGCAGTTGCGAGTTTGAATCATTGGCGCGAAAAAGTGCGGGTGCCGTTTTGACCCAGCGTTCTGTGTCGTTTGTTTGCAGTAATTGAAGCCAACCTACTCTGAGTGTTCTGGATACCCGGCCTGGTCAACGTTTACATAAAAAGCTATTGAAGATCACCATTTTATAGCAAAATCCACTATAACCAAATCACCATGTTCAATAGCTTTTTGTATGTTTACCAGTGGGTATATCATACCCTCAACTACTAGAGGGTCTAAGATGGTTTGCCTAGGGCTCCCAATATGGAAGGTCTAAGATGGTCTCAAAATCATTGTAGACCTTTTGCCTCCTACCATGTTAGACCCTTGCTATCATGAGGGAAACCCATTCTAGACCTTTTGGCTTTTGCATAGGGAACTTCATCCTAGACCCTTTGCATCCTTGGAACCTTAATAAAGGTTGCCAAACGCATACCAAGCAACCACAACCAACATCAATCAACCACAACCAGTGGAGACATAAGGCGCAATCTTGTTGTCACAAGATGATGGTAAAATGGCGATGTTATTTTTTATGTAATGGATTGTAATGGTTCATAATGGTGCATAATCGCACCAATAAACGAATAACATATTTGATGGATGGTTGCGATAAACGAATTTTTATGGTTTCAGGATGTGGTAAACCATTTCAGACCCATGAAGATGAGGAAACAAATAGGAAAAACATATCGGGTCACATTACATACACATCCAACCCCAAAATACCTCGAAGGTGGAAATGCTTCCAAATCAAATACCCATTGGTATCAACACATATCATTGATACCTTTGTTGATGGTGATGGTTTCTCCTCTCTATAGTTGGGAATGGTTCATCTTGACGGGTCTGAAATGATGTTCCCATAGCATTTGTGGTGAATATTTATGGTTTCGGGATGTGGTAAACCATTTCAGACCCATGAAGATGAGGAAAACATTGGAAAACATATCGGGTCACATTACATACACATCCAACCCCAAAATACCTGGAAGGTGGAAATGGTTCCAAATCAAATACCCATTGGTATCAACACATATCATTGATTTCTTTCTTGATGGTGATGGTTTCTCCTCTCTATAGTTGGGAATGGTTCCATCTTGATGGGTCTGAAATGATGTTCCCATAGAATTTGTGGTGAATATTTATGGTTTCAGGATGTGGTAAACCATGTCAGACCCATGAAGATGAGGAAAGCATAGGAAAACATATCGAGTCACATTACATACACATCCAACCCCAAAATACCTCGAAGGTGGAAATGATTCCAAATCAAATACCCATTGGTATCAACACATATCATTGATTTCTTTCTTGATGGTGATGGTTTCTCCTCTGTATAGTTGCGAATGGTCCATCTTGATGGGTCTGAAATGATGTTCCCATAGCATTTGTGGTGAATATTTATGGTTTCAGGATCAGGCAAACCATTTCAGACCCATGAAGATGAGGAAAAGATAGGAGAAACATATTGGGACACATTACATACACATCCAACCCCAAAATACCTCGAAGGTGGACATGATTCCAAATCAAATACCCATTGGTATCAACACATATCATTGATTTCTTTCTTGATGGTGATGGTTTCTCCTCTGTATAGTTGGGAATGGTCCATCTTGATGGGTCGGAAATGATGTTCCCATAGCATTTGTGGTGAATACTTACGGTTTCAGGATCAGGCAAACCATTTCAGACCCATGAAGATGAGGAAAAGATAGGAAAAACATATTGGGACACATTACATACACATCCAACCCCAAAATACCTGGAAGGATGCGTCTTGTTAGGCTTACTGCCGGAGATGCCGGGAGCTGTTTGAAGGAACCAGGGGTCTAAAGTGAAGTTACCTCTCTGAGCCTTCCAGGATCATAGCTGTGTTATGTGCAAGTTCCCGGACCCCTAGGTAAGGTCTAGCATGGTTCCGTTATATTTCTGGAATCACCTAGGGATTATCATCCCAGACCCCACTTCAGACCGTAGATCCAGGGTCTACAATGAAGTTTCCTAGGGTCTGGGGATAGTAGTTGAGAGGATGGTATATCTAGATCTCAGGAAAACCATTATGAAAACCACTATTAGCCATCATTAACCATTAATATCTCTTAATATCCCATTGGTTACCAGGCCGGGTAATCAACTGATCTCCAGTTGTTCTTGATTTGCCAGGCCGAGAAGTTCGAAAACGCCGTGCGGGCGCTGCAGGAGGCAATGACCAATGACCAGCTATGACGAACGGGGGTAGCCGCTACTTCCAGCTGTAAACATGGTGACTGGGGGATGGTTTGAATCATTGTTTTACCATGTTGTACCCACATTAAACTTGATTAAACTTGATTAAACTTGATTAGACCAACATAAATCAAGCATCCATCGGAGCCATAAAAACATAGAGTCATAGAGTATATCATAAAATGGTGGTCATATCATAGCATGTTAATGGCGATATATTCCACAGGAGAACAAAAAGAGGTCTGGTACCGTCCAACAGCGTCTGAAAATGGGGATCTAACCAACAGGTGACATGGCTTCATCAACCGTTAGTTATGTGGGATATACCCTCTGGTAAACTAACATAGCTATTTAAAATTGCCCATAGAAATAGATGATTTACCTATTAATAGCATGGTGATTTTCCATGGCAAACTGTTAGTCATAACCAGAGGGTAATGGCAATTTTCATGGGATTATGTTTCCCATAACTAACGAAGAATATGATACCTGGGGGAGTCTGAAAATGGGACGGGATACTCGGGATAGCCCCAATGGTATTGCAATTTTCATAGGGAAAATGATCCATGACTGGCGGTTGGAATCCGGTTGGAACACCTAGATGGATATATATGTATACATATATATATATGTATATATATATGTGGTATATATATATGTGGTATATATATATATGTGGTATATATATATGGTTGGAACGTGTTGGAACACATAAAATCTATAATATATATATATACTACTCGTAGGTAAAAGCACCTCAGCACCATGGGATGTGTTCCAAGTTTCGGAGAATCCCATGGGATGAATGATGTTAGCCACTTCTCCGCCAGGCACAAAAGGAGAAAGTGGCCGCAATCCAGGTGCGATTCTTCCAGCCAGAAATTGGTCAGGAAACTCCCTGAATTTCAGAATCGGTACGAAAGTCCCCATGTTTTCCTGTTAATAGTTTGGCGTAGAAATCAACCCATATGGTTGTTATGGTTGTTTCATTGTCATGGTCCTGTTCCTTATCTTCAGCAGATGGCTAGCCGTTGTTTGGGGACAAGCCGATGTTTGTGTTTCTTGTTTGCGGCCAGGCCGCCAATGACCAAGCTTGGGAAATTAACAAAGAGGCCAAAGAAATTGATGAATCCAGGTGCAACCGGGGACGTTTTGAGAGCTGGCTCTAGGTGTGGCCTGCAATGAGAAATCCCGTCCAAAACTGGAGCTTTGAATGGGAAGATCATCCGCACAGGGGGATTTTCCAGTCAATGGAACTGACTACTTGAGGGACATGTACTGGTGGCGCACTTGTCGAAGATGCTGTTGGTGCAGCATGGATTGCTTGGGGCCTCTATCATCCCTCTGACTTAAAGTAGAACGTCATGCTCAACTTCCATCAGCGGGATATGCTGGATCTTGGTGTGTCTGGAGTTTGGAACATTCCCCAAACGATCCCAATCCCCATGGGAGAAAATGATGACCTACTGCTGCTGCTACTACTATTGCTACTGTTGCATTTTGGGGTACCATATTTTCAGACAAGACCATATTCTGTTTTTTTTCTTGGTGTTCTGTCCTTTTTTTCGTTTCTTTCCCAATAAAGACGACCAGTTCCTGCAGTCAGTTCCAGGGCCAAGAAGCAGATGCGACTCCAGCTAATGACAGAAAGCTCCAAGATCAATGACCAACACTGCGAGGAGCGCCTTTAGCGCTTTTTTTTTGCGGTCCCTGGAGGCCCTGGCTTTTTGGGCAAGCTATGTCAAGAGCGGATTTTTCTAGGCCACCAATCTATACAGTATATGCACTAATATCTGGGTAAATTTCATCACGACCTCACTGCGACCGAGCCCTGGAATCATGGTTAATAAGGGAAATCATCCCCAAATTGCCTTAATTCAGGTTGGTGAATTATTATAATTTACCCAGATTATATGATATTATATACCCTCTGGCAAATTAACATCGGTATGGAAAATCACCACTTTTGATAGGCAAATTGTCTATGGTTTGGGCATTGCCCATGAGGGCAATAGGGGGTCGTCCATGTTAATGGCACCGTATTCACCACTATGGGGTGAGCATCCAAATTCATCAACGGAGTTTATTTATCCGGGGTGGACAGTCCGATGGAAGTAGATATACGGACAGCCCCCTCGGTTTTTTGATCCGAAGAATGATTTGAATGATTGCAATTTGGCCGCTCCTACGGGTTTTATGTTGTTCCAAAAGTAAGTTCTTCCATCAGTGTTTTGGTTTAAGTTTTGAAGGGCCAATTTTGATTGTGCGCCATGAACATAACATTTCACGAGGCATTCGTATGATATGGGTTTTGATGCATTAGGTGTATTGATGCTTGTTGGTCCCAGTGCTTGGAAATTCCACCAGTCTTGAAACATACCGATTTCCCCAACTTTCAATCCATATTTCATAGAACTGGATGATGGGAAAATTTACAGGAAAGCCCAACCAATTTGATGGTAAAAACCATGGTTTTCCTGTAGATTTTTATCTTAAACCAATCCATTGAATATTAAGGGCAGACCCATCTCATAGTGTTGGGTATATCGGCCACGATCTCCCATGAATTCCATCGAATTCCCCATGACATGTGGTTGCAATTTCTTAGCACGGGACAAGTCGCTATGGGGGTTTCCTAAAATAGGGGATCTCCAAATTCGCATAGGTTTTAAATGGTTAGTTTTTTTCTTTGTTTTAATACTAAAATGATCTAATGACTGGATGATTTGGGGGTGCACCCCATTTGACTCCGAAAGATGGTTGTTCTCCATGGGATCTCCGACATCGAATCAGGACCTGAAGAAGAAGATGCAGAAGGAGGATGTGACCCATGACACTTTGGTGTGTGGTCTCAGTGCACCAATTTTTGGTGGGTCAAGTTTTGCCGAGCCCGCGATAGCTGAGATGCAACAAATCCAGCTATATAACATTGGATATCCGATGAGCTGCACGATTTTCCATGGAATATCAATGAGATGATTATGGCATTTTTTTTCGGGATGATTATGGGTTATATAATGTTATAATATGTTATATACCCTCTGGAAAGCATGGCTAGCAGGGGAAAAAATCCGAACTACTCATAGATAGAGGTTTATAGTGGTAAATCGGGGATTCTCCAGCAAGCCACGGAGCTGACACTGGACCCACTGGAGATATACTATACTGTTTGGTGTTTTCTAAGATATATAATCTATGATATATATATATATATTCAAGTATCTAGTATGGAAATTGGATGATGGTCCCCAAAAACATGACAAGAAAACACGTGTTTTATGGAGAAAACATCAAAGCATCAAACCCCGGCCCCAGGTGGGAAAACGCAACGTCTTGGACAAGGAGCTCGAAGATCTCAACGTGTCGCGATGGAGGGATTGGTGAATGTCAACTGAGGAGTTTGCTAACTCCCCAGTTTATTCATTCAGGGGTCCAGGGGTACCAATACTTACTAAGTCTCTTTTCTGGGTGGTGGTTTGGAACATGAAATTTATTTTTCCATCTATTGGGAATGTCATAATCCCAACTGACGAACTCATATTTTTCAGAGGGGTAGGTATACCACCAACCAGTTGGTTATTGATATTAATTTGTGATATTTAAGATTATTTTTGGGGGTACTGTAAACCCCCCAAGTCCCCAAGTAATAGTCACCGTTTATTAATCCGGGGTTGGCAGTCTAGTGTTCAACCGGGTTGGACATTGATGGTTGGTGGTTTCCATTTCATATATGGGATGTCATCGTTTTCCCATTGACGAACGTTATCATTTTTCAAGATGGGCACAGCCAGCACCACCAACCAGGGATTATATGGGATATATGGGATTATATGGGATTTAAATGTCCATTCATGGGATTATATAGGATTATATGGGATCATTAATGGGATTTAAATTGAGGCACACGAATGGAAAGTTGTCTCAGACTTGACTTTTTCAACGATCTGCAGGAACCACCGGATGATTTTTTCGAAAAAACTTCACGGCGATGAGTCAAAACCAAACGGCACCCGGATGGTACCGAGAGTCATCCTAAGTCATAGCTGCTTAGCGGATGTTTACTCAAGTTTATTCCCCCAAATAGTCATCCGAAGTCATAGTTGCTTAGTGGATGTTTATATAATTTTATATATATGATGATGATATGTTTTGACCCATCCCCCTATTGTTCATCCAGTGATTTCCCATGGCTTTGCCGACCTACTGCCAAGGCGCAGAACCGACATGCACAGCAGGAGGTGACCACGCACCAAAAGCAGTAGCTCTGCCCAAGTTTTTCCGTGGATAAAACTTGGATGGTCTTGGATGGGTGCAGTTTAGTATACCATCTGGTTATGACTAACATAGCCATGGAAAGATCCACCATGCTTTTGATAAGTAAATCATCTATTTCTATGGACCATGTTCCATGGCGAACTGTTTCAATTTTGTGGCCATAGATTGGGATACTCACCATTTTGAAAGGATGTTTTTCTTGTTTGAAGGGGATCTAAGATTTGCCGCGGAACCAGAAACCCCAAAACGTACCCAAGGACTTACCGTTTGGTGAACCATACCGAATTGGGAATGATGACAGGTTTACCACATTTACCCGGAACGGAAAAAGTAAAACAGGCTTCCCATAGGAAAGCAAACTTAACTGTCACCAAGACCAAGGGTGTATCACAACAAACATCAACAAACATATTTGGGGGTTTCTTGAGTCATGAAGGATCCCCAGTCGTCACCATAGGTTGTTATACTAAGCCATGTTTGGTCATCCATGACTTGGATGACTAAAACGTAACTCCCCCAGGTGACGGTCCGCATGGAATGCGGTCAGCCGAGGTTCGAACGCGTCAAGCGTCGATATCGGCAGACCCTGTCACGTCGAGATCCCAGTCATTCATCCCCATTGCACGATGATCAATCTTCGATGCGAAATGGATCTAAATGTTACCAACAAATAAATGATTCTACCATTTTTCCATGTCTTTTTTTAAAGACATTTGAGCATTGCTGGTAATAGCCATAGCTGTAATCACCATAAATATATAGGTGGTAAGTACGTATGTTTACCATTTATGGCATTGTTTTACCCACATGAATCACATGATTCAGCTACATGCTGCTACAAGCTGCCAGATAAAGACAGCGTGCTCGAAACCTTGCCGCCGTTGGAGGTGACCAAAAAGGAGCTGAAGTTCAAAACCCACCCGGATGGTACCCAAAGTCATAGCTGCTGAATGAATATTTATTCAAACATGATGACGATAGGTTTTGACCCATACCCCCATTGTTTATCCAGTGATTTACCATTAAAAACAACATTCCCAAATCAAAGTTGAAGATTCATGGGAGTTTCCATGGTTTCAACATGTTTTAAAATGTTTTAAATCTCTTTAATTGCAAATGAAGGTGGTGACACATTGGTTACAGTTGGGCTTCACCACGGAGTAGCAATGGATCCCGCAAAGTCAATGTTTGTGAGGGTCGGTACTACTTTTGCCATATTGAACACATGTTTTTCATATCGTCTATTGTTCATATGTTTTTCATATGTGTTTCATATTTCTATTTTTTTAAAACATAGTTTGTTCAATTGGGTAAAGAAATATTATGAAAAATTGTTGTATATGAGATTCTGTTTCCATACCGGCCGGCCCTTACCTTCTGTGGTTGGTCATGTTCGTTCTTCTTGGATCGGTTGCTATGTCTGATCCAAGACTGCTCACCCGGTGTGAAAGCTGTGTAACCAGGATACCCAGGATAACTCCAACCCAAGAGGAAATGGGTGATTTTACCAGATTTGTCCATATTTGGCCAATTCTAGCCCATTGAATCTGGTGTGACCAGGGAGCGAGCAACCTTGTTAGCTGAAGAGTTTCATATACATATATATATATTACATATATGTAATATATATATATATATTATATTATTATATTACATATATATATATATATTATATTATATATTATATATTATATATTATATATTATATATTATATATTATATATTATATATTATATATTATATATTATATATATTATATTATATATATATTATATATTATCTATTATATATTATATATTATTAAATTGCATATATATATTATATTACATATATATATATTATATTATTATTATATTACATATATATATATACTATTATATTATATATATTATATTATATTATTATGTATATCATATCAATATATATATCTATATACATATTATACATATATGATGAATATACAATACCCATATCAATATCCATATGTATATATATATTATACACATTCCTACATCATTTCGACACAAACATCTCATCAGGAGCTGGAAAAGAGAGCCAAACTGCAAGAGGAGGTGAGCTCTGAGCTATGCGGGGTCCACGGGTCCCTTGGGGAAGAAATCTTCGAAAGCTACGCCGCTAGGATAGTCATGGATAGTCCATGAGATGCCCTTAAATCCATTTTTATCATCCCATAAGTCATAGATGGCTAGAGGATAAAATCCCATAAATCAATATAAATCATCCATGAGATCACATATTTTCTCTGCTAGATATCCCATTGAATCCACCATTCATGGTGGCTGTGCCGTTTCCACGAGCTTTACCGCGGCGCCTTCAGGACATTGGACGGCAGCGGAAGCTGTTGGAAGATATCCAAGCGGAGGCGCGGTGGTTGTCTTTGGTGCCGGCTTTGCCTTGGTCCAGAAACGGTGGTCGAGAAAATGTGGGATCCAGAAAATGTTGGTTAAATGTTGGTTAAATATGCTTAAATTTGGTTAAGGTTTATGCAACATAAACAAATGTTGGGTTTTCCACTCTGATCCTTCAGGATGGTTTTCAACTGGCAACACAAATCAGCCCAATATTTTGGGCTTAGTCAGAACCTATATTACCATATTTGGGAGGATGACCATTATAAATCCATGGTAGAGCCCACCTATTTCGTCCTATTTCCAGGTTCACCATGGTACAAGGATTTAGACTCATACCCAAATCAAAATTCCCGATAATTATAAATAATTCAAAAGTAGATCGGTTTACATTCAATATGTTTTTTAATCATACCTGAAAGTCAAACTTTGAACTTCCCGATAGATTCCCGGATGATTTCACAGCCAACAAGTCGCAGAAAAACCATCATTTGAGCGGCTGTTTTTCAGTGACAGGTGGATCTCTTTATCGGCGCCTTCCTGAAGCAAGAGTCCTTAGAGAAGGAATTTCCACTCCACCCCAGGGCACTCGTTGTGCGGTGTGGTGATATCATGTTTTGGATAGAATGGGCACTATGAATTCATGGCTAAATATGCGCAGATTTTTTTAAATACTGACCATTGATGAAATTACTATGATACTATCTATGTTCACATATTATTTGAACCATTCATAAAACTATATATATATATATGTACTATTAGTTAATGGTGATAATAGCAGTTATCATCATGGCAACAACAATAATAAGTAAATACATAAATTAGATTATATACATATAATATAATATAATATTATATAATATACACCGAAAATAGATGGTGATAACATGACTGCGGAACTGTCAGGCAATCATAAGGGACGAGGGTGGATGTTGGACAGTCTGGCTGCTGGAATCATGGACCAATTTTTCATGGTCAACCTGGTCAACCCCACGAGAAATGATGGAGAAATTGGATGATCAAAGATGAGCAGAAGGTTTCCAGTTGTGATACGAGTTCCAGTTGTGCGGTTGAACTTGGCGAAATTGGAGCGAAGTCGTCAGATTCGGGAAGAATTTCTGTCAAAAGCTGTCTCACCACGTGCCTGTTTCAGGACAAAAAGGAGGAATATGAGACCATCAATCAACAGCCTCTTGGGCGATTAGTCAGGATTGATCATAAGCGAGTATGGTCACAGGGGATCTGACTGGATCTAAAAGGTTGTCAGAAATGGTCCAAAAAACACCACAACTTTGAGTTCGTTGGCGAACTTTCCAACACGGGTACAATGCAACTTGGGAAGGCAACTTCTTTGGGGTGTTGACTTTGTTGACCAAGGTGTGACTTCGGTAGGAGGCTTTGTATCCACAAAGATATGGACGTTTTCACCGCTGCACAACGCAAAAGGGTGACCTATAGTGACCTGGTCGATGACTCTCAGGATGGAAGAGATGAAGAAAGAGATCAAGACTCTGAAGGTCGAGGTGGGACATAACTTGGATGCTGAGATTGGGGCAAAACTTGGGCGAAAAGGGATGCTGTTCACCCATCATGCAACTCTTTAAGACGTAGGTCTCATCTTCCCCAGGTAGCTAATGTTGTAGCCACGCATTGCAAGGCAGACGGATGCCCCGGGTAGGAGCTAAAGGGCTCATGGTTCATGATCTATATAGAATATTTGATTCATTTAAGATAATTGTGATAAAGATCTCATTTTGAAAATCCATTGTTCAAATAATCCAGAAGTGGTTGTGGGATATCTACCCAAATATCGGATATCATTATCTGGTTGGTATTCTTGGATACTTGAAATTCTTGATTCACCTGATTTATGACTGATGCAATGGACACCTTCTTCTTGGGGTGCCTTGAGCTTAGCCCTACCTGCAAATCACACCACAATATCATTTAAATTCCACAAAGAACAATGACATAACCATTTGGGTTCGAATGAACATGGATGGGTTCGAATGAACATGGATGGCCGCCCCCTTCTGGTGTCAATTGGCATGGGATGAACAACAATAAACATATTCAAATCATCTAAAATGTAGACATATATTAGCTATTTAGGAAAAACCAGGTTTTCTTAAAAAAACAGGTATTTTCCCCGGATAAAACAAGGTTTCTGATTTTCAACCCAAAAAAAAGTAGGTTCTTGATGCCAGAGGATATATATTATATATATACACTATACATATGGTTGTCAAGCATGACGATTCGGTCAATCCTTTTGGATACATCTCTGCTTCCTGTGTTTGGGGACAGGCAGTTGAAAGAATTGTGTGTCAACCAACAGTTCGCTTCTGTGCCGGTTGCAGGAAGACAGCATTTTCGTGAAGGTCAAATACCATACCCTCTGGTAATCAAACGTGGCAATGGAAAATTTTTAACTCCACCATCTATAGAGATTTTCTCAGCATGCACCTTTTTGTTCCTTTTCTTGCGGTGAACTGTGAAACAACGTGAAACTGTTGGATTCTCCAGGGGAAAGGGACGCTTGCACCGCTGGCATCGGCCCAAGTATTTGAGCCAAACACCCGAAGCGCTGCAGCTCTTCGCTTTGCCGGACCGGAGGTCAAGTCGGAGGTCTCATGGCGTTGCTGTTGTCGACTTTTCTAGTCCAACAGTTTTTCTGGGCCGCGGCCGTGCAGTTTGATGCGTATTTCGAAGAAGCTGCGGTGAAAAATAATGCTTCCTGGGCCAAAGAAGAGTCCGAGATTCAGCAAAAGCTGCAGAAGCTTGAGAGTCCACCGGCTCAGAATGATGACTGGTTGGTGGTTTGGAACATTTTTTATTTTCCATAGTATATGGGATAATCCTTCCCATTGACTTTCATATTTTTCAGAGGGGTAGGTATACCACCAACCAGATGACCATTCATGCTGACAATGTCGGGTATGGTCCATCCCTGCGACCGCTGTTTCAGATCCCCAAAACGAAGATTTTGACGACGGCTTGATGTTTCTTCAGTTGCATCAACTTTTAAGAAGAACTCGTGTGTTCAATTAGTGATGTAGTATTGACCAATAATGACCAACATCAGGCAACATCAATTTTCGTCAAATCGAGTCACATCGAGTCAAATGAGGTAAGTTCAAAAAGAAGCCCAACATCATTTACATTTTGTCCGACGACATCGGTTTCGGCGAGCTGGGTTGGCAAGGCGGTGGCAAGCACCGGGGCACACCAGGCCCTGGCTTAGATGACATGGCCTATCAAGGCATGCGATTTTGGTCATCCTACAGTGACTGCTTCAGAGCTTCAACATGCTTCAACATTCAGGGCGTTTCAATGTTTCTAGAGATGGGTGTTTTCACCAGGTTGCAGCGTAGGTTTCAAATAATTACACTTTGTGTGTTTGTGTGTGTTTGCGTGTCTTTATGTTTTTCCAGTTCCACTGCAGATTTTTGTTGGCAAGAAAATGGGGAATCAAGATAGGGAGAATGATGAATGATGAACTGGAACGGGTTTCCATGGGTTTCCCAAATTTACAGGTACCAAACTCAAAGGTCCACTATGGATCCAATTGTCCAGGCTTTTGGTCCAGTTTTTCCACTTCGTCACTTCGTCACTTCGTCACTTCGCAGCCCAGGTGAGCCGAGCTGCACTCCCTCGCGCGTGGCCATCATGACGGGGCGCCACCCCGTGCGAACCGGCCTCACCACGGTGCTGTGGCCGGGGCAGGTGGACGGCCTGTCACCGGAGGAGGTGACCATTGCCGAAGTGCTGTCGGCCAAGGGGTACCACACGGCCATGTGGGGCAAGTGGCACATGGGTCACTCAGATATGGTGAATGGTGAATGGTGAAGGTTGGGAAATTTTGAAATGGTGTTGGTGAGCATGAAAGAGCAACAATGAAACAAAGAAGTTGCGAATGGCTGGGAATGTTGGGATACAGTATCTAGGCATATCTGGCGAAAAAGAGAGAAAGATTAAGTGACGGCGTCGCTTGGGACGAAAGAACATGGACACAACATAAAACATGTCAATGCCCAAGGGCAAAAAACATGAACTTCATCAAATTTGGGAGTACCCTATCATTGGTTGATTGGTTGTGTAGATCCTGCAAAAATAGGGAAACATTAGGATACACAGATATACATTACAGTATATACTTTTCTTACTTTTTATCTTTTGCGGCTTTCTATCTTTTTTTTGGGGTATCATAGGCATATTGGATGATACTGCTATTGTTGTTGCAGCCGTTAAAAAGTCTGTTCATCTTTGAGCTGGGTCCAAGGGTCCAAGCTTCACCTAAATATTTCACCATGATGCCATGGTTCCCCATGAATTGCTGGCCATATTGGCTGGTATCAAAAAGCAGATACCCTCTGGTAAACTAACATAGCTATGGAAAATCACCATTTTTAATGGGAAAAATCACTATAGATGGCCATTTTCAATAGCTATGTTAAATTACCAGAGGGTAAAAGGAGGGTATCCCGGTTTACTGTCTTCAAAAGAAAGGCCACTTTCGCGATCTCATAGTGTTTTTGTACATCTGATTTTTACTTTGCTTCGAGTGATCCCCAGCGTGATAGATCATTTTCTCATAATTTCTGACGTATCATCTGGAAGTAAATATGGTATATATCTTCTGACACTCTATTCTGGCATTCTATTTGGCATTCTATCTGACATTCTATTCTGGCATTCTATTTGGCATCTATTCTGAGATTTTCTCTGGCATTCTATCTGACATTCTTCTGACATTCTATCTGGCATCTGTTCTGACATTCTTTCCGGCATCTATCCTGACATCCTTTCTGGCATCTATTCTGAGATTTTCTCTGGCATTCTATTTGGCATTCTTCTGACATTCTACAGTATCTGGCATCTGTTCTGACATTCTTTCTGGCATCTATTCTGACATCCTATTTGGCATCCTTTCTGGCATCTATTCTGAGATTTTCTCTGGCATTCTATCTGACATTCTTCTGACATTCTATCTGGCATCTGTTCTGACATTCTTTCCGGCATCTATCCTGACATCCTTTCTGGCATCTATTCTGAGATTTTCTCTGGCATTCTATTTGGCATTCTTCTGACATTCTACAGTATCTGGCATCTGTTCTGACATTCTTTCTGGCATCTATTCTGACATCCTATTTGGCATCCTTTCTGGCATCTATTCTGAGATTTTCTCTGGCATTCTATCTGACATTCTCTCTCGCATAAGTTGAGGTCCGGAAGTGCCCACTGAGATCTGGAGCTCGCGGTTCAGGTCCGGCAGCGCCCAGCGAGACGAGGTGGAGGAGGAAACAACTCTGATAGAATCTAGAGTTCCTCACCTGGCAGAGGGGGGGAACAATCTAAGAAATCCCCATCAAAAAAGCTGGGAAAGTCATCAACTCACATCCCAGGCGAAGAACCCGAACACGCGCCTGAGAATCAAGGCTTTGATTACGCCTACTACGGTCTCTTCAATGGAGCGCCTGACCTATGGCCAGATGGCTATGAGATGACGGCAGCGTGGCTGCAAAAAAAACATATGGCCAGATGGTACCCGCAGCGGTGTTATCAAACATGGCTGGCTGGGAACTTCCCGAACTAAATTGAGGTTTTAATAAGAAATCATGGGAATATATGGGGAAAACATGGAAAATCCATGAAAATCCCTTAATTATAAATGGAGATTTTAATGGTGAAAGAATCGAACAAAAGGGGCATTGTCTATCAAACCATGTTTGATTACCAGAAAACGCTTGAAAACTTGTGGAAATTGATCCCTAATTTGATGCTTTGGAAGAGAATGCTCCTACTATTTGATGGCCATAAATTGCGGGCATAATGCTATACTTGTACCACATCTTATCAGAAACACGAGTCACCGACCCATCAAGTCCAAGCGTCTTTGCTGTGCGAAAAGGGTCCTGTCCAGTATCAATTTTGTTACTCTTTTTTGTAGTTTTTTGTTATGACCTGACGACCCAAGATCGAGACAGGGTAACTAAACGGTTTCTCGGTTTCGACCCCTTTATTTATGGCCTTTGGAGGAAAAGATGATCTGAAACCATGGAAATTTTGAGTGCTGAGGCGGAAACACCCAATTCGCACCGCTCTCAATTCTTGGACTTTCCTGGGATCGAAGGTGGGAATGCATGGCTGCGTTCAGTTGAGTTAAGATGAGTCAAGGCTGTCAAGGGCAGGCTGATGGCGAAAGCGTAATGGGTGGTTTGAATTTTCTTTATCCCTTTCCTACCTTGAGGAACATTTGATGGCTTGCAACAATTTGCAACCTCTACTTGTACGACCTTCATGATGCGACAATTGATTCCAGCAAGACTTTTCCGAAAAAAAACACATCCAGTTTTCCCCCCAGTTTTCTCGAGGTTTCTTGTGGGATTCGTTCCCCTTTGCCAACGTCGTTTCACCATTTTTCAGCAGGCTACAAGGAAGCTACAGGCATCGATCTGTCCGTCAGCGCCTACGTGGCGCGAAAGGGCCAGGAACGGAAAGCCATCGAAGGGCTGGCGGGACGGCCCGGCCCCAAGAGACAGGACCGGCCCGTTTTTTTTTGACTTCGACCGGGCCGACGGCAGTGGACTTTTCCGGAGATTTCGAATTGAGAAAATCGTGAAGATCCGACATGATCCAAATTTTAGATCGGAAATGGTGGATTGACTTCCTGGTAAAATCTCCCCAGTGTGGTGTGGGAAAGTATTTTAAAGTACAAAAAAAGTAGCCATTCCTCGAAATTGAAATGGTTTGATGGAAATTTGAGTTCCCGGCACATTTTTTTGCTTCCATATTCACTGAGACAGGTAAATGTGCCAGGGATTGACTCAATGAGACTATACCAGGACATACCAGGACATTATTGATCTTGGAGTCGCAAGAATTGTTGGACTTTGTTTGTTCTTTTGTTATTGTGTTAGCCAGATTTCTTTAGCATTTCTTGGAAGTAGGCATTGGACAAGCTTTAGGACAAGTTTCAATTGTCACAACAGAATACAGAATACCATAGAATACCTGAATTATGAATATCATAGGCGCCATACATATCGCTTCCCCAGATCATTCAGCGATATGTAATGTATCTGCCAGTCACCATGAGTTGAATCATCTGCCAGTGAATCTGCCAGTCATGGCGTTTCGTGAGGAAGTCTTTGAGGAGGAGTCCATCGCTCAGATCCTGAAGTATGTGAAGGAAAAAGCCAAGGCCAGGGATCCAAATATGCCCAAAATCTCAGAAAAATCTCAAGATGTTCCTAACAATTTTTGTTCATCCATGTGCTGGAAATCATTCTGCCTATATATATATAAATATTATTATATACAATGATATATAATATTTAATATATATATATACAATAATACATATATAACATAATATATATATGTATATATATGTATATATAAGAATGTGTATACTATATATACGTATATATATATATTATGTATAATAACATATATATATATTTAATATAATAATGTAATATATATAATATAGAATATAGTAACATAATATATTTGATATAATATATAGTAACATAATATATATATATAATATTTTATTTATAATATTATATATTTAGAATAATTTAATATAATTTAATAAACAATGATATAATTTAATATAATATGTAATAATATAATATATATAATATGGTATATACTAGTATAATATATATATGTAAGATTATCTATATATTATATTATTTCAAATTTTATTATATATATACGATATTGATTATTACAGTATATGTATATAAACATATTATTATCATATAAATATACTAACTATATATATATTAATTATTATACATTATATTATTATTATTATTATATATAATATTATATTGTATTATATTATTATACTATACTATAATGTATTATATTTTATTATATTATACTATATTATATTAACATTTATATTTTATTATACTATATATTATAAACATTATATATTATATATAACACTATATATATACATATTATAATATATATTGTGATATATTATATATATTGCTGTCATAAAATGGTTTCTTTGTGATCGCTTGTTCAGGGGCTCAACTTGAAACCCTCGAAACCCTGATTGCCATGACATCTCTTGGTGTGTCCGAGCGACTTCAAACTGTTTGTGAGTTCCAAATGTTGAGATTTAGAGTTTCACCATTCAAAGATGGATCATCCATTGATTTGTGGACCTGGCCTGGCCTTAGGATCCAAAGCCCTTCTTCATCTACTGGGCCACCTATTGTCAGCAACTGCAAGGCGTATCCTCCCACTTCAACGATCCTCACGTGGACCATCTGAACGCCCAGGCCAGCATGATGGCGGCTCACAGTTCATATGTTACACGACTCTTGGACACTCTGAAAGAGGAACAGATTGCAGAGAACACCCTGGTAGTCTGGATGAGTCACTCTGGCGAGATTTCTTGGGCCATGGTCCACTGGTTGAGGGTTTTTGATAAAGACACCCCTAAGAATTCCTAAGGATCTAAGGTGGGTTGCTGGTGAGAAGTGTTCAAAACCACTCGTTCGTTGATTAATTATAGGGGAGTATACTGACCAAACAAAATTGGGGATTCTCACAGTCCATTGGCTTGGCTTTGGAACACTCTTTTTTTAGTGGAGAAACACATCCATGCTGGTAGTTATAGGGCTTATATAATCTTATATCCCAAAGTTCATGAATCCAGAGATACTACTGTGACATCAACTAGGGCTTCTTCCTGCACCATTGCACCATGCTGTTGGCATCCCAACTTTCAATGGGATTTCACCATGGAAGGTCCTGGTTTTGGTCCAGGTGACAACGGGCCCATGTACGCCTTCTACCCCAACTCGGGCTATTCCTGGCTCCGTGGCGGCAAGGGCCAGGTGCTGGAGGGCGGAGTGCGGACGCCAAGCATGGCGTGGTGGCCTGGAATGATTTTGGCCAACCAGGAGCCAGTGGATTTGCTGCACATCACGGTGCCTTGGAGGCTTTTCGGTACCTGAAAATCATGGGGGAACAGCTGAAACACTTGGGGGTTTGAGCCAAAAAACGGGGAGAAACATCAGATGTGTTTGATCGTGCTTCGCATTTCTAGGCATATTCCACACAGTTGTTCTACGTTTTTTTTCCAAATGTTCACAAGTCTTTGCCATAGCTCACATGATTTTTTCCACATGTTCATATTTTCTTTTGCAAATGTCACTCGATTTTACCCACCGTTTTTTCCACTTCATCACATTTCACCCACCATTTTTTCGTCAAGGATCTCTACACCACCGCAGCGCGGCTGGGTGGCGCACTGGACGCTATTCCCGAAGATCGAGTGGTCGATGGAGTGGATCAACTGCCGCTGCTCTTGCTGGGAGAGGGCCATGGACGGAGAAAAAAGATCTTTTTCTACAGTGCCTTGGCGGGGAGATGTGGTGAGGATTTTTTTTACTTTTTTTTTTGGACTATAACTATAAATGATGGTGATTAATATTGATGAATGGGATCTTTAATGGATTTCATCTTGGAGGGTTCCTAAGTCATGGCCCCAAAACCCATTGGTTTCAATACTTTCGTTAGGTCATCGATGGCTTGGATGATTTGGGGTAGCCCTATTTTAAGAAGCCTCCATGTGGTGATTGATGGGGTTATAAACTATCAACATCTATTACCCTCTGGTAAACTAACATAACTATGGAAAATCACCATTTTCAATGGGAAAATCCACTATAAATGGCCATTTTCAATAGCTACGTTAAATTACCAGAGGGTATTTGATGTGTTTGTTTTTGATACTTGATATTTCATGGGACCCGATGAGCGTATTAATATGTATTCATGCGCCGTGAATGGCTTGTGGCAGATGAATATACCAGATACACATGTGTTATAGAATGTTATAAGTTATAGATATAACATGCTTATAGATATGACATGGTCATAGATATAACATGGTTACATATATAAAATGGTTATTGATATTTTATGGGGCCCCGATATAAATAACCAATAATGCAACTATACAGCGCCTTGCCTTTTTTTTGGATATCAATGGATTTTTCATGGGATATTTAATGTGATCAAATGAAGTTAAAGGGCCTTGGCTGAGCTGCGTTCGACACCATGTTGATGATTAGTTCAGGGGTTATACTACTCACTCTCTATACAATACCCCCTGGTAAATTAACATAGACCCTGAAAATAGCCTAGTTTCAATGGAAACTAATCTTCCAACCCCTATCTGCCAGGGTCTATGTTAATTTACCAGAGGGATCCAGAGGGTATATGTTCGACATGATCTTCATGAGATGGAAATCCCGTTGCCAAAAAGTAGTGGAATGACACAGGATTTTGAACACTCCGAACTTGGCGAACTTGGAGGTGTGGTGTCAGATTCCTGATATTTTCTGAGTTTTGGGGCTTGCAAAATCACCATGATGGGGATTTTGTGTGGGGATTGAGTGGCATTTCGATCAGTGGTTGGTTAGGCCTATTAGGTGCTGGGATTGTAAACCAAGACAGCGGGTTATCTATAATCTACCCTCTGGTAAATAAACATAGACCCTGAAAATCACCCATTTTTAATGGAAACTAGTCTTCCAACCCCTATCTGCCAGGGTCTATGTTAATTTACCAGAGGGTAATATATCAATATGTTTAGCATGTTTCAGTATGATGACTAGTTGCTTCACCAAGCATTTTGACTGGGAATTGACTGGGGAGATGTGAATGGCATTTTTTTTGGTTATAATACACCAAGCATTCTGTGGGGATACTACAAATATTGTATGTAATGGGATATTATTGGTTTGCCTTTGGGAGACTGTTGGTATAGGTACCAACGAGTGTTGGGTTGCTGTGATTTTGACCATGCAAGCCCAGAATCAGAGGATTTGATCACAAATTCGGATAGTGCTGGCTAGTTTTGGATGGTAGGACCCAAGAGTAACTCTATCTAGAGGTACAGTAGTATCCCAATTTTGGTGACAGTAATATCAACACATGTACATAATTGTACATAGATATTAGATGATATGAGTCGAGATGCTATTAGATGACAATATTAGATGTTATAAGATGTTACTAGATGCTATTAGATGATAATATATAGATGATCTTAGATGATATATAGATGATCTTAGATGATAATATATAGATGATCTTAGATGATATATAGATGATCTTAGATGATATATAGATGATCTTAGATGATATATAGATGATCTTAGATGATATATAGATGATCTTAGATGATATAGATGATCTTAGATGATATATAGATGATCTTAGATGATCTTAGATGATATAGATGATCTTAGATGATATATAGATGATCTTAGATGATATATAGATGATCTTAGATGATATATAGATGATCTTAGATGATATATAGATGATCTTAGATGATATATAGATGATCTTAGATGATATATAGATGATCTTAGATGATATATAGATGATCTTAGATGATATATAGATGATCTTAGATGATACATAGATGATCTTAGATGATATATAGATGATCTTAGATGATATATAGATGATCTTAGATGATATATAGATGATCTTAGATGATATATAGATGATCTTAGATGATATATAGATGATCTTAGATGATATATAGATGATCTTAGATGATATATAGATGATATTTGTATATCCCAGGATGGTTCCCTTTGTTGGATGGTTTCAAGTAAAAACGGAGCCACTGGTTCACGACACGGCGACAGCCACCAGGTGGTGAACAGTTGGGTGCGTTGCGCCACGGAGACATCAAGGATGGGCTCTGAAAATGGTATATCCTAGGGTAAACTAACATAGCTATTGAAAATGGCCATAGAAATAGTGGATTTCCCATTAATAGCATGGTGATTTTCCATTTCGCTATGTTAAATTACCAGAGGGTATCCTAGGGTAAACAATGGTGGAAACCATACAAGGTGGTGCCCCCCAAGTTATGTTTGTTGGTTTATAATCCCATTAACTAGTGCAATATATCTAGCATAAGTCCTAGTTATTAGAGTTATAAACCAACTTAGCTATCTTGGGGGCACCACCTTGTACCCTCTGGTTATGACATTCACAGTTCGCCATGGTATAGATGGCCCTAATCGAAATAGATGGTTTACCTATTAATTAATAGCATGGTGGATCTTTCCATGGCTATGTTAGTCATAACCAGAGGGTATATACGGTATATCCTCTCATCAATGGGGGTAAACAGACATTAAACGATCTGAAAAACCCATTCCTTACGAACATGATTTACAAATGCTGGAATTTACAACAGGGTTATCCCGGGTTATCCACCCAATGGCCATTTTTTGAGCGAAAATCATGAAAAAAACCAAGTAGATTGAGGGCTAGCCTATTATTCAGACAGAGCCAAATTGTGTGTTTTTTCTCCAATATTTGGGAAACTCCCAGGAAATGAATTCACCATCATGGGTTGACAATCCTGTTGTTGTTCAAAGAAACGCCTTGATAAAATGAACAAAAACCGGAGAAATCAGCGAATTTGAAACCACAATCATGGATATTTTTTTGGGAACATTTTATGAACCTTGATCCTTGATCAGCAATCATGAAAGATTGATATTTCACGGAACTATTGGTTAACTGTGAATACCCCTAGAGCATACTCGAAGCATTACGAAGTTCATTGGACTTGTTGAGGTAATGTGGTGTATGCTAGGAATATTCTTTCTTTGTTGACAGATGTCCTGTTGCCTCGAGCATGTCACAATAGGGATGGTAGGGTTCTTCTAAATCATTCTCTATGTTTGTTGGTTTTGAGCGCTATAATCCTGGTTTTGCCGATGATTTCTCACTTTCTTTCCCATTTGTTGATGGCGCTAGGCGCATTTTCAGCCCGGAGCCAGTGGGGGGTTGCCGAAGATGGAAGCCTACAACGTCCGACGCGATCCTGGAGAAAAATATGGCCACTGGGTCCAATGATATCAAAATGATTCAAAATGAAAGTCAACATCTGAACCGGAAACCATTGTGGTTTCCATGGAAAACCATTGTGTTGCCTGTAAAATTTCCCTTAGACCATCCCATTGAGAAAGAGGTATTACTTTTCGGTAATCTAACACAGCTGTGCATATCAGAATTTTGGCCCATTTCCCATCGAAAGTCCAGGGGATGCATCCCAGATCCCGGAACCCTTGAAGATCCAGCTTAACTATTGTAGGAAGGTTTCATGTTTCTTTTCTAACAAAGGTTGAAGTACTATCACGTTTTCTTTGGAATTTTCGAATTTTCATTCAATTTCAATTCACGAAACAGGCAATAGGTTTTTTGAAGACGAGATTGGAGGAGACTTCCTCAGCCTCAAGTGCCAAAAGGTTGTGGTGCAACGGTGAATCCAATCTCAGTGCTAGACTGAAGGTCACAAAGGGCGGGAGGAATCTCGCCTTTTTGGGGCAGCAAAAGTCTTTGAGTTTTTGATGCCAGCAATGGAGCAAACTCTCCTGTTGTGACCACTTATTTTGGAATCCCAACAGAGAGGTGAAAATCGATTTGTTGATCGCCATTGTCAGGCCAGTTCTATCCATACCTGTGGACTGTCACGCCGATCATGAACGATGTGAAAGCACATAAGCGAATGATTCAGAAGTTCCCGCATCGCGGGACTGTAGAGCAGCCCAAATCCTGCGCGAAATGAGGACGTGCTTCGCCATTTATTTTGAAGGCCCTGAAGGCCCTTGGTGAAGTTGATAAGTTGATTTACAGCAAACTGGTGGTGGATTGCCTTACAGTACATACTTGCCCGCCAAGATCAGCCACTAAAGGTCGACACCACCGACCAGATCTTGGTTTTAATAGTGAGACTGCCACAAGAGCGTGTCTCCAGAGAGTGAGTTTGCTAAGAAGCAACAAAAACAGCTGGCCTGATGGCTGATGAGGCTGAGGTGCAAGATATCCATCGGTTGGGATGGAGCTGTTTGAGCTATTCCATGCTGTTCCCATCCGCCCCATGGGCTACATCCCGCCATGGGAGACCCGCGCCAGGAACAGCGGTGGCACGCCAATTTCAAGACGTCCCCCGCGCCCAGATGTTACACCTTTCTTTTCCATGGGTTTTTTGATGTGTCTTTTGGGATTTTCCCGAACTCGCACATTGGTTGGTCATGTTGGTCCTCTTTATATATTAGCTGGTTGGTGGTTTGGAACATGGCTTTTATATGCTTTTATGACTTTCCCATCATATTGGGAATGTCATCATCCCAACTGACTTTCACTCCATCATTTTTCAGAGGGGTAGGGCTCAACCACCAACCATTAGAGCTACCGTAATGTAATTCATATATAAATTCATTGGACCGGGCAGGATGTTGCGAGAGTTTCATGATCACTTGAGAGATACTCCAGTCACTCTGGCTTTGTCATAAGTGCCTCTGTTGTAAAGGTACGGTAAAGATGTTGCGAGCACTGGACGTTGTACTGATGTGGGTCTCCATTTGCCCACCTACACATTCGATACACAGCGAATGTTATGTCTCTGCGACCTGTGACCCTGAAAGCGTCATTCGTTTTGTCGATATTGGAAAATCCCCCATTTAAGTAGATCCCAGGCAACCAGAGGGTAAATAGCTGTTCTTATGAGTCGATGGTCTTCAAGCGGCGCTTGAGGTTGTCGTCTCATAGAGAGAAGTTGGCAAGGGATGCTTCGCAGGCTTTCCGGTCGAAGTTGACGTGCTGCAGTCAGACTGCTAGTCTTTCATCTTTATCCTAAAACCGTGAATCCCTGACCTTCACGTGATTTTAGCATTATGGAAAAAACATATATATATATATATGTATGAATATGTAATGTCATAGTATGTCAGAGTGATATTCCTGATTCTCATCCCAAGTTGAAGAAATACCAGCCCACTCCAGGCCCACAGGCTGTACCGGGAGACCGCGGATGAGGCCATGGCCTTGGGATTCCAAGCGTCCAAGCGATGCTTCCGATGCTTCCACGATGTGGCGCGATTGAGGTGGCAATGAAAGAATTGGAGGAGCAGGACTTGAAGAAGAAGCATCAGGTGACGCCAGGGCCATATATATCATATATGGGATATGGGGGCCATCCGGCTGTGACAAACATTGACAAACTGATCAATGGTGGCCTCAGATCCAGTGAAGCACAATGATTTGATCAGTGATGATCAATGACTTGCTTGTGAGCAGATAATTCATTTTTGAGGGGATTGCTTGAGATGGACTTCCTAAGTGGATCTAAGTGGGTCATCCAGATCTAAATGCTATCTCCAGATTCATCAGAAAGGCCCATGTGCCGCTGCAAGTTCTTGGATACCTAAGATCTCACCAATTTCACGGGCTATGAGACCATTAAAACACCGTTGATGGCTGAATCGTTCCGTTGATGAAACGGACGTTTCACAGGAAATCAGCCAGAAGCAGAAAGAGTTCTGCACCATGTACGAGGTGCACCTTTTGTGGGGTCAGTGGCTCCTTTTGGGCCCGCTGAATCCTGTAAGATCTCATCCTGTCTCAGGTGGTCAAGAATGAGCGCAATAAGTACATGCCGCTGGTCACGGTGTGTTCTTGTTTTCTGCGCTGGGACTGTTCCGTGTTCGAGGGGTGTAGCAGACATGAAGCTGCAGCCAATGATAACTATGTCGACTACGTAGTCAATTCATCCCGCAAGTGCTGATTTCCAACATGTTCTATAATACAATTATATATATATATACATTATATACATATATTATAAAATGATATAATTATATTATAACAGTTCGCCATGGTATAGATGGCCCTAATCGAAATAGATGGTTTACCTATTAATAGCATGGTGATTTTCCATGGCTAAGTTAGTCATAACCAGAGGGTATGATTGCCCCACTGCTGTACATATCTCTGACCTCTGCAAAATCAAGTATACGGTATAGCGACATTTCAATATGTGGAGGGCGGGCCAGATCGCGAGGCCCGGGAGGTAGCATAAAATACATTAAAATACCTGTTCGTATATGTTAACATCCATATATTAAACAATGTAGTTACCGTTTTTTTTTCGGAGGTTCAGCCCAGTTGATAAATCTCATCGTTTTAAACCCTTTCGGGGGTTTTTGTCCCGCACGTTCCGAGGACTCACATCCAGAAGTCGGATCAACAACTCTCCGAGATGAAGGTCACGCGCGATTTTTTTTGGGGAGGGGAGATCAGCCAAATGTGATCCCCAGGCTGACGAAATCGCCAGCCTGTGCTGGTGTTTTGGGGTGTCATTTTTCTAGGGTATATATATACATGGGTATACTGGTATAGCAGCCAATTCCAAAGCATGCGAGAGCAGTAGACCATCAGTAGACCATCAGTAGACCATCAGTAGACCATCAGTAGACCGTTGACGGGTTTTGAGGAGAAGTTCAAGATCCTCTCGAATGAAGTCGAGATTTTGCGCATGGAGAGTGCTGTGAAGGACACACAAGACCTCAGAATTTGAGGGATGGGGAGGCTTTTTTTTCAGGGTTAGAAATCAGCTCAGCAAATTCAATCTTTCCGAGATATTTGACGTGGATCTTCCAAAATCACTGTGAAGGGAAATTGTACCCTCTGGTAATTTTAGCATAACTATTGGAAATAGCTGAAATCACCATTTTTAATGGGTAAATCAACTATAAATGGCAATTTTCAATAGTTATGTTAATTTACCAGGCCGGGTATGTGGAATTCTGTGGATGCATTGAACATTTGCCCCCAACTCATGTGGGTGACCCTCCCGGAAAGCATGGAAACCACAGGGTTGGTGATCAAATTTTCAAGCACTGTACCGTGATTTTTTAAGGGAGTAATCAAATGTATAATTACATTCAATTAGTATTTTTGTAACTAATGTATATATTATATGATATTATTCCCTGAGTCAATTACAGTTGCAAATTACTTCACTCAATCACCACGTGTTAATTACATGGATCGTGAATATTCCCTGAGTCAAGTCTACAAAAGGTTGCTGCAAAAACCTCAGAGTCCAAGGACAAAGAGCTGGCCCAAATCCGGCAGGAGGCTGGTTCACACAGCAAATCGGAAAGCTTTGAGGCCCAATTTGACAGAAACGTCATGAACATGTCATGAAAATGTCATGAACATGTCATGACATGTCTGAATTTTTGGAGGAGAAGTGAGGAGTTGAAGTGGCCAGGTATAGTTTCTCCATGTTTCCGGATGTTTCTCCAAAAGACGTGTGATCTCTAGTGTTGGTACCTTCTGGTAATTTCACAGTTGGCTACTCTTGAAAGCACCAAGTTTTTCATAGGTGAATCAATAAATGGTCCATGGCTTCCAACCTGCGCCCCGTAGAGATCCCTGTAGGCACAACGCTTGGAAGTGACCCATGTGCGGAGACCAAGGGATAGATTGACCAGACGAGTTCGCGGAACTCCGTGATTGCTTACTATCAACACATCATGGGAAGATCCGGACAGCAATTTGTGTTTTTGAAGATTGCTAGATGACTAGATGGGTCTTGTAGAGTGTTCAACCTGGTGTTTGTGACACTTGCACTGCCCAGTTTTTATTGCTGGGAGTCGACAGTTTTTGGGCACTCCATGGCGCCATGAAACAACGGTGAGCTGATCTTGGGACAATGCTGGAGATCAGATAGGGGTAGATCATGACAGTGGGGTTTCCATGGAGCAAGTGCACAGCAGTTTTTCGAAGTCCTGTTCGGCGATTTTGCAATGCGACAACGTTCAACACAACATGTGTTCTTTTCTCCTGTTCAAGTCATCAAAACAAATCCAATGATCGGCTGATACCACGACCCAAATCATCAAATGATCGAGGAAACACATGGTCGATTGTGTTGATGGTGGTGTTGATGATTTTGATGTTGATGTTGCTGTTGACGATGATGATGATGATGATGATGATGATGATGATGATGGTCATGATGGTCATGATGGTGGTCATGATGGTGGTCATGATGGTGGTCATGATGTTCTCTATATTCATGATGCTCTTTAAGTTTATGGCGATGATGTTGATGATGAATGATGATGCTGATAATGGTCATAGTAATGATGATCAAAAATCATGATGACACCTGATGATATAATATGATCATGTGATTACGTGTTTCCTTATTATTGTGGGTGATGCGATGATAACAATGATTGATAAAAAGCGTCGGCCGCGTTTCTGTGGCTTTTGGTTGCAGGACCAGCTTCAGAATGAGAAGACGCGAATCAGTGGCAAGGGCGTGGCGTTGAATGAACAGGTGCAAACTGAGAGGAACTCAGAATTATCGACCCCCAAATCCTCGACCAGAGCCCTGTTTCACCCCCGAATTCTTGATGCTGTGTTAAATAATTATGAAAATCACGTTAAGATGACCAGGTTACCAAGTTTGTTTCGTCCCTGACCCCAGTGTAGTGATGTTTGCCTATAATAACCATGCGTACTGCAACTATATATACTATAGTCTCAAAACACTAGACCAGTACACAGAACATAGCGACCCCAAGCAGTCGTAACGTGATGAGCCATGACTCAACAACGCAGCCACAGACCGTTGAGCTGACATGTCAGGTGGAGCAGTTCGTGATTGAAATCGACAAGCTGAATGCCATCATCACCTCCATCGAGAAAGAGATGGTCGGCAGCTAAGGGCCTGGAGGCATCCGGAAGCTAGTTGGCACTTTGGATGTCTCAACAAGTCCAATATATGCGCTTCATTTTGGTAGCATTTGGCCGGTGATACAGTTAATACACCATCGAGACCATGGAGTGGCGGGTTTATCAATCGTAGAAATGAATTAGAGATGCCTGGGATTTTACGTCATCGATGATACCGTCATCATGGCCGAGGTCGAGCTGCGGTTTAAGTATGAACAGGTTCGGGGGCCACTGGTTGGGCCTTCCACAATGGGCGGGTGTCTGGAAGTGGGATATGTACCCCAAAAAAAAACGGCTGCAGAAATATGGGGAAAATGATGATAAACCTCCTATTTGCAGACAACTATTTTGAAGGATCCATAGGTTTTCTATGGCATGGATAATAAGCCATATTTTTCAAAGAAATAACTGAGCGTGTCTTTCACGGAGCCCACAGTTCCATTTGTTGCGGCTGGTTCCCCCGCTGTGGTCCATATCTTGTGGATGATATACTATGGCATATTATGCTACTTGTAATTTCTTGGCTGAGAGCCCCCATATTGCCAGCACATCGTTGGAGAATCTCTTCTTGTTGATGAGTCTCCAATCAATCTTGCCCAAAATTTGAGTCTTTTTCATCTTTTTCCACTTTCCAGATCATTCCAGCCACTTTCGTTGGCACTTAGGTATACTTAGGTCTCAAAAGATTTTTGCCCCCTTCCAACCAGTGGGAAAAACGTATTCTCCTCATGTGATGCCATCCCAACTAGATCCCAGAACTGTGTTTTTGCAGGAACATCTGCAGGAAACAGGGAGACCAACTGATATCAACTGATCAAATCCATAATTTCCCAAGATTTTCCCAGTTCCATTGGGAGATCAACTGATTTTCACTGGTTTCCTCTAGATTGTCCCAAGATTTTCCTCCGAAATCCCTACGTCCAGGCCGTTGAGATGCGCAACTTCACGGGCACTCAGCTGATCGACCGCAACGATGAGCTGTGCATCCTGTGGGAAAAGGCCAACATCCAGGCGCCATCCGCAGAGCGATGCAGAGCGATCCGCCGGGGATCTGGTTACGCTTGTTGGAGGCGGTAGATGAGTTCAGGGAAGCTGTGACTTTTGGATGTCACGGTTTTTTGGGAAGTATTTTGATGAAATTTGCCCAGATGGATCCATAAATGTGTTTAAGCTTGCAGAAGATCAATGGTTGAATGATTATGTATGAAAACGTGTAGACTGATTGGCTTCTTTGTGTGTATTCCAGTTCAGATGTATGTCTTGAACATCGCCATTCCATGGTTGAAACAGCAGGAGAAGCTCTTGAAGAAGGGCGAGGCGATGGGGAGAATAAGTGGTGGAAGACCTTTCTGTACGGAGCGTATCATCTGCATGGAAAAAACATGAATGTATAATAATATGTATGTGTATATATATAATATTAGACAATATTATACATTATTATACATAATCATATTTATATATCCAAACATATGATATACGTACACATATGTATATCAATTGTGGTGATTGAATGTGATTGATTGGATTTGATTGTGAGTTGATTTGAGTTAAGTTGGTTTAACTGGGTTTCATTGATTGATTCAGTTTGGAACTGATGTTGATGACGATGACGACATGATGATGATGATGATGATGATGACGATGACGACATGATGATGATGATTATGATGATGATGATGATGATGATGATGATGACGATGAGTAGAAGGAATGATGATGATGATGATGATGGTGGTGATGATGATGATAATGATGAGTAGGAGGAATGATGATGATGATGATGATGATGATGATAATGATGACGACGATGAGTAGGAGGAATGATGATGATGATGAATAGGAGGAATGATGATGATGATGAGGAGTAGGAGGAATGATGATGATGATGATGAGTAGGAGGAATGATGATGATGATGACGATGATGATGAGTAGGATGAATGATGATGATGATGACGACGCGACGACGACGACGACGACGGTGATGATGATGATGATGATGATGAGTAGGAGGAATGATGATGATGGTGATGGTGATGATGACGACGACGATGACGATGATGATGAGTAGGATGAATGATGATGATGATGGTGATGATTATGATTATGACGATGGTGAGTAGGAGGAATGATGTTGATGATGATGATGATTATGATGATGATGATGACGATTATGATGAGTAGGATGAATGATGATGGTGATGATGATGATGATGATGAGTAGGAGGAATGATGATGATGGTGATGATGATGACGACGGAGATGATGATGACGATGATGATGAGTAGGATAAATGATGATGGTGATGATGATGCTGATGATGATGATGACGATGATGATGAGTAGGATAAATGATGATGGTGATGGTGCTGATGACTATGATGAATAGGAGGAATCATGATGACGGTGATGATGATGGTGATGATGATGATGACGACGATGATGATGAGTATCAGAAATGATGATGATGATGATGATGAGTAGGAGGAATGATGATGATGATGATAACGATCAGTAGGAGGAATGATGATGATGGTGATGATGATGATAATGATGATGAGTAGGAGGAATGATGATGATGGTGGTGGTGATGATGAGTAGGAGGAATGATGATGATGACGCTGATGATGAGTAGGAGGAATGATGATGATGATGATGATGATGAGTAGGAGGAATGATGATGATGGTGATGATGATGACGACGGTGATGATGATGATGATGATGATGATGGTGACGATGATGATGGTGATGATGAATGATGATGATGATGATGAGTAGGAGGAATGTTGATGATGGTGATGATGATGATGATGACGATGACGACGGTGATGATGATGATGACGATGATGATGAGTATCAGAAATGATGATGATGATGATAATGATGAGTACGAGGAATGATGATGATGATGATGATGATGACGATGACGATGATGATGAGTAGGAGGAATGATGATGATGATGATGATGATGACGATGAATAGGAGGACTGATGATGATGATGACGATGATGATGAGTAGGAGGAATGATGATGATGATGACGATGAATAGGAGGAATGATGATGATGATGATGATGATGAGTAGGAGGAATGATGATGATGATGACGATGATGATGATGACGATGATGATGATGACGATGAATAGGAGGAATGATGATGATGATGAGTAGGAGGAATGATGATGATGATGACGATGATGATGATGACGATGAATAGGAGGAATGATGATGATGATGATGAGTAGGAGGAATGATGATGATGATGATGATGAGTAGGAGGAATGATGATGATGATGATGACGATGATGATGATAATGACGATGATGATGATGATGATGACGATGATGATGAGTAGGAGGAATGATGATGATGATGACGATGAATAGGAGGAATGATGATGATGAGTAGGAGGAATGATGATGATGATGATGATGACGATGACGATGATGACGATGATGATGATGACGATGAATAGGAGGAATGATGATGATGATGAGTAGGAGGAATGATGATGATGATGATGACGATGATGATGATGACGATGAATAGGAGGAATGATGATGATGATGATGAGTAGGAGGAATGATGATGATGATGACGATGATGATGATGACGATGATGATGATGATGATGAGGATGATGAATAGGAGGAATGATGATGATGATGAGTAGGAGGAATGATGATGATGATGACGATGATGACGATGATGACGATGATGATGATGATGACGATGATGATGATGATGAGGATGATGATGAGTAGGAGGAATGATGATGATGATGACGATGATGATGATGATGACGATGATGATGATGATGATGACGATGATGATGATGAGGATGATGATGAGTAGGAGGAATGAGAAGGACCATGGAGAAAGCGACATGCCGTCTGCAGCTTTTGCTCTGGAGGATGCGATGCAACGAAAGGAGGAGGAAATCCGATGTCTGAAGATCGACCTTCTTGAGGCGCCCGATCTGTTGCTTAAAAACCATAGAAATGGATGATGCTGCCCACTAACAAACATATTTTTGGGATGGGTTGAAACCACCTTTGTTTTTTTTATCTTGCTTTTGAGATGTTTTGAAGATGTTTAACTTTTTAAGGGTGTTTGTCGAAAGGACCGTCAAGAGAGTAGGGTGAGGCTTTGTCATGGCAAAAGTTGAAACAATGGCAACTTTATTTTGTTTTATTTTCTTGCGAGGGTTGGGTTTGTGGCGGGTTGCTATGATGGGTTTGGGGGAAATTGTGTGCTTGACTTTGTTGTCTCATTTTTGAAGGGCAACATCATTCAGAAACTTGGTTTTGGTGACCATTGATTGTATCTCCTAAATTAACTCTTCTGATTATGTTGAGAGAATTTATTTTGGATTTTCTTTGGCGAGTTATCATGATTTTTGTTCTGCGGGTGGCTTCTGGATTCAATGTTCGGAAAATGGGCAAGACATTGGCAAACTCACATCTAACTCTTATTTTCCATCCTGTGATGATGATCCTAACTGATTTCACTATCCAAAGTGATTTCACTATGTTTTTCATAAAGGTGGCTCAACCTCACCAACCCCAGTTGATGGTTAGACATTTCACACACGAATCATCGATGCCAGGTCCATCGGCAGCTGAAGGTAGTCCGTGGGAAGATTCCGGAGGTGAAGCCTTTGGCCGATGAAGTGGTGAACCTCCGAGAGCAGGTGGGGATGGAGATGACTGGGGCACTGGGTGGGAGATAAAAATGGGGAGATCATGTATAACATGATATCACCAACTATATAATTACATCCAATTTGGGGCTGTTTGAAAAGGGGGTATACCGGTATACCGTGTATGCCTTCCTTTGGCCATCTAGTGAAAAAAAAGTGATGTGCAAAATACAGATTCTGGGTACTTTATTTTGAGACAAACCCATATCAAAAAAATCTTTGGATTGACAACAAGAACATACAAGAACAGCGGCGAATCCTGCTCGTCTATTTGGCTATTCACTCGTTTGGGAATCACCTTTGGACACTTCCCTGCTGCGCATGCTGCGATGAAACCGCTGGCCGCTGGCCCCATGGCCCCGGCAGGTCTCCAACGTGCGCAAACACAGTGAAGACCTTTCCAGAGAGGCGCAAGGGGGAGATGTGGATGTGCTGCAAATCCAGGAAATCAATGGAAATCAGCTCTGAGCTATGAATCAAAGAATCGAAAAATAGCTTAGTTTCACTATGATTGCCCATTCTCAAACACACCCAAATCATCGAGCGATGAGCTAGTACGAGTGGTTAGTGGTTCTATGTGGTTCTGAATGGCAAATGAATGGTTGTTCCTGGCTAGCTCAATGAGCCGACCATTGTATTTGTTGATATTTTTTCTATGAAAGGATTCTGGTGGGCGAGACGGTGCCATCAAAGGCGGCAGCATATGTGAGTGAGTTATGGATAGTTATGGGCCAATCGTTGGCTAAGTTGGTTTATAACTCCAATACCTGTTGGGTCCATGTTGGATATGTGATATGTGGGACATTGTGGTACTAGTTAATGGAGTTGTAAACCAACTTATAATTTGGGGGGCACCACCCAAGGTGCTGAAGGATGGGAACAAGAATTTCATGCAGACTTTGAAAAATGTCTCCTGGCTATCTTGAAATTTAGTGGCATTAAATCTGCAACAGAAGAATATTACTCACCAGATCCCGGGCAAGATCATCATGGCTTCCGTCTCGATTCATGTTGATGGAACCCAGGACCACCCCAGGTTGGAAACCCCCAAAAATTTAAAATCTGCCGGTTTCGTTGACAGAACATCTCTCGCAGTTTTTTTTTTGAATGAACTTAAGAGGTAAATCATGGGATTTTCATGGTATTTTTCATGGTGTCACCTGGTAGCGATTTTTCACTGCCGCCCAGTTGGAGAATCCTAAGAGCTCTTTGCGAAAGTGGCGAAGACTTGGTGGGGAGGTGCAGCTGGCAATTTTGTTCGGACCATTTGGTGAAGAAAAGTCCACATCATTTTGGACGAATCTCATTGTTTGGTTTTGAGAAAAACTTGAGTTGTTGATCAAGTTTAGTTTTTGATCAACTTGAGTAGACTTTGTTCAGAATTTACTTGATCTGGAGAGTGCATTGGATCATGCTTGATGTGTCTGAAGTTGACCAGTGTTAGAAGGGAAGATCGATAGACTTGCTGGCGCTTTGCTGATTGCGGAGGTCTGAACCACCAAAAAAAATCCAGACACGTTTTTCGATTGTATGGGGATTTATAATGGGATTTACACAAACTTGGGACCAGAAAACTATCCATTAGCGATGGGGGCTGTTTTTTTTTTGAACGGGGGATGAGATGAGGTGATTCTATATGATTCTATAGGGTTTTGTAACGGTGAAATGGTGAAGATCTCCCAGCATTTCCCCATGTTCCAAGATTTCTCAACGGTTTTTCTGCTGATTTTCTCCATGTTTTTCTCCGGAGGACCTTGATCAGGAGACCTTGCGAGTGAAGATCTTGGACCTTCAGGATGGCTTTGGGGATTTCACCATCCAACAGGGGATAGTATAGAATGTGGTATATATATATAATATATGTATATATAAATATATGTATATATATAATAATATATATATAATATAATATATATAATTATAATAAAATATATATATATATAATGAATATATATATATATAATATAACTACCAATGATGATCTGCTGAGTGGCTTGAGTCATATTTGGTGTTACCCATACAAAAGGGATGACTGGTTGAGATGACTATCATAGTCTTGGGATGGCTTAAAGCCACCAATCGTACGGCTTGGGAATGTAATTACCCTCTGGTATACTAACATAACTATGGAAAATCACCATTTTTAATGGGTAAATAAACTATTAATGGCAATTTTCAATAGCTATGAGAGATCTATGTATAAATGCAAAAGGGGATGGATCAAAACCTGTTATGCCATATTTGATCGGGATGAACATCAATGTACCAGCTATTTGGGGGTTCACCGGGGGTAATACAGTTTTGAACCCATATTGAATTTATCAAAAACATGGATATTACTGGTATAAAAACGACAGTATGTATATATATATATGTTTGTTTTCAATCATGGGATATTTATCCCCCGTTTATGGCAATCTCACTCGCCATGTAGGGACCACAAGAGGTTCCCCAACTCACGTCGCAAGTGCGTTGCGTGAAAGGAGCGGCTCAACGACAAGAAAGAGGCCCTCCTGGAGAAGGAGTTGATCTTGGAAGAGGCGGGGCCATCGATCATGGGAATGCTGACACTCGCCGGGATAAGGGGGTTACTTACAAGGACCCATTTTTGAGAGTGAAACAGTTTTTTTTTAAAGCCATGGTCAGTTCCTAAGGTTTGGCAATGATCAAAGTTTATATGTAGCGTTCTGTTTACGAATACACAATATATAATATACCCTCTGTTTTCAGCAAACGTGGCTGTGGCCGGTTGGAAAATCTCACTAAATAAAGGTCTATATATTTCGCTGGGAGAATTATCGATGGAAATCCCCAAACTAAAATGGAGGAGATGGGGAATTGTCAATTGCCACGTTTGATGACACGTTCTGGGTACAAAGTATGGCATCCCATTGTTCCACTGTGATGTTGTTTCCAGAGCCTACTGTTGAAAGGTTTGACTTGTCCTGATGTTGACTTGAGTCTTAGCTTGGGAAATTGTACATTTGGGATCATTTGGGTTTGTGTGAAAACAGCATACCCCAAAATCTCAAGATTGATTTTCCCCGTTAAAATGATCGTTTAACATGGCTATAACATGGTATAAATCCCATTTCTACGGTAAAACATGCTGCATCAGGTGACAGCTCTCTCGGAGAAGCTCCGAAGTCAGGCCGCGGAGATGAAAGCCGACCTTGGTGCAACCCACTTGGTATTAAGTGGTCTATAATCCCATAGATAAGCCATAGATAAGCCATAGATAAGCCATAGATAAGCCATAGATAAGCCATAGATATACAATCACACACATATATCTACGTATATATATATATATATGAGTAGGGATATTCCATATAGAACTGGTGGCATCACCGTTTTTTGACATGTTTTCTGGTTGTTGGAGCCTCAGGGCCTTCGAGCATGGATGAAGAACATCAGAGTTTCAACGGAGACGACGGAGACATATCGAGACCGCCAACCGAATTGTATGATCATGACTGGTGGCTGGTTTCAAAAAACACATATATATATATATATTTACACTATATATATACACACTATATATAATATACATAAATGATGATGTATATGTATATATATATATATATGTGTGTTTTTTACCAATGATATTATATTACCAACTTATAAGCCACTTATGATCACCAACATTCACCAATTCACCAATCATGGCCCAATGTTTCAACGACGATCTCAACCGATAGGCCTTGGATGGAAGACAAGGTACCATGGATCTCTCGCAGAAGGTCCCTGCTGGCCCATGGGCCCATGGCGCTAGCGGTGGCTGGAGATCATCCGTTGTATCGCAAAAATGGTAGCATTCTGGAGGTAAAGTGCAGGTAGTTCTTAATTTCACTAGATTGGCTTTACACTAGATAATTACATAATTTCATACATATATATATATAATTGCACTGGATTTGACTTAAAGATTTTGTAAAGCAGACTTTTTTGGATCTGGCGCTCGCCGCTGGTGATTTGTTGTGCCCGCTGCTGCTTCGGCTTCGCTTGCTTAGCCGACCTCTTGTGACTGGTCGGAGCGGTTGGAAGCTGAGTTGACAGAGAAGGGGCAAGGGGTCATTCAATGGCTATCATTGGGATGACAGTCATCTAACATGATTAAATCACATGGAAGTATGGATGGAATTATATATCATTTGCATTTCCGAATGGGCTGATGACTTTTTCATGATGTTTATTGTCATGTTAGATGACTTTTTGATACCCTGAATTGATGAATCTGCCCTGAATCTAGCCCCCAATTTGGAGTACATTCGGAATGATCTTTCGCCACAAATCTCCATGGATCTTTTCCCAGCGAAAGATGCTGGCAACGAGGGTCGTGATTTGCTCAAGCGGGCTTGGCATCCATAGATATGAAGCTGATTCCAAAAAAAGAAACTGGCCACATGATTGAATACAGGTCGTTGACATGATATATTGTATATATATATATCTACGTATATATAGATACAAAGACACATATTTATATAATATACATATTCTAGCAAAATGACAGGATGATTCTCCTCGCGTCTTTGGATGCCAAAGAACTGCAACTTACTTCTGCACCAGAACGCTGGAACTGCCGAGGCCGATGACTGCGGAAGGCGAAAGTTGGTCACTCAGGGCGGGGAGACCGGAGGTTGATAAGGTAGATAAGGTACTCCTATGGTCAAAATTGGGTGAAACCCCAAGATAAGGTGGGAAACTCAAAACGAAAAGGACCAGCACATCAGGCTTTGTTGGTTCTAGAACCCACTGCAGTACATCCCTGAAATGGTTGTTCAACCATTTCAATCCCTACAGAATGATGCTAGTCTTGCTTGGTTTTCCCCTTTTTGGACTCCAAAGAAATCTCATCAGAAAAAAAAACGCTGATAATACTTGGGGTTGCAGTTCCATCTTTATGTGTATTATATAATATTATATATGTGGATCATGGATCTATATATGACCATGCACCAGGGGCCCCAATTATATCACATGGTGATGATCATCATGAATTTTCCCGTATCTTCTGGCTGAGCATTCATATGCACCATGAATTATAATTAAAATGGAATGCCGCAGAGAATATGATGATAAACCGTAGTTCTATAGATAATATATATATATATACAGTATATATAAATATATTGTATATATATATAGATATTATACGCAATATCCTGAGATTATACACATATCCCACTGGATGTCATAATGGTGTCATGGTTTTTTGCCATATTTCATGTATCATCTCATCAGGCCATGAGTCGCATCTGGGAGACGAGCTTCGCAAGCTCCTGGAGGAGGCGCGAAAAAAAACCTGCGGACCTTGGGAGTTTCTGCGCCTTTTGGGGCCCCCAGGGGCCCCAGGGGCCCCACAGGCCCCAGGGACCCCACAGGCCCCAGGGACCCCAAAAGCCAAATATGGACCTTTGAATGGATTGGTTTAAGGGAAAATTTGCAGGAAAGCCCCATGATCTTCATGGGAAAATCTATGGTTTCCGGTTCCAATTTTCCCCAAGAAACCAATCCATTGAACCTTGGAGAATCTCAGATCTCTCATGGTGGGTTGGGTTTTTCTGGCGACGAGGCCGATGCTCAGTGGCTGCCTCAGAAGGGCTGAGTTGTTTCAACACCGCTGGAAAATGCAAGACATCCAGTCATCTAGTCCCACCAGGAGCATGTGATATATAGCAGTGTAATATAGTGTAATAGATTGTACTAGTGTAATATAGTGTAATAGCCATGGAAAATTCCACCATTTTTAATAGGTAAACATGGCGCCATTAGATTCACCTCCTGTGCGTCACGATGGAATCCTGGGGATCCAGCGCCAGGTGGACTCTCTTAGAGCATCGATTGGACCAGGCCGGTAGCACCTGAGGATTGGTGAAGGTCATAGGGTTTTATAGGGTTTCATAGGGTTTCATGAATGGAAATATATGGAAATCATATATGAAATATGATGAAATATGATGAAATTATGATATTTGGAGCTAAAACTGGTGTCCCACATTTTGTCGCTAGGAGATCATTTGGAAAAGAAACAGATCGACACACCATTTTCAGAGCTTGCCGAATACCGCCGAACTAGGTGCAAGAGGAGACGCTTCAGCAACATGCTGAGGAGACCTGGTCTGAAAATGGACCCTCCATAAACATAGGAATATGATGATCATATGATCATGAAATTTGGCTTCTTCGTTTTATGGCAATTTGACAAGTCTTAAATGAGGAACATGATGATCAACTATGAAATGTTGGGTATCATTGGGTATCCTATTTTCAGATACATCCAAATGTTATCAAATCTTCGAGTTGTTCTGCTGGGTGATTTCCTTCATATTGCTCATGTTCCTCTTGAAAAGTGGGGAACACAATGTCAATATTTCCATGTACGACTGTAGCACTTCATGATCACAATCCCAATAAATGGCTTTGTCCCAACATTCTTTGAACTTGTGAGATTTAGCTGCAGGCAGTGACCCTCTGGTCATTGCTGCGGAACGAGCCATCTCGTTTAGAGATGACTTTTTCCTAGTAACATTGGTGGATATTCATTGATTTTCCACAGCCATAGCTATGTCAAAAATGTCGGGATACCAGACGGTTCCTTGCTGGCTTTCAGGAGCTCCAGAAACGATTTGGCCCGGTCCTCAGCTGTGAGTTGAGTTTGCGAATGTTGTGGGTTTGGTGATGAATTGTTTCGAAACTTTGGACATCGATATCTTTCATGATTTTTAAACACTGTATATTCTTTTAATATCTTTTAATACACTATTTCAACATTTGGAGAAACACATTTTTTCTTCTAGATTTGTTGGGGTCCGTTTCTTCCGAACAACCACTCGCTTGAGGCCTGCAGCCTTCCGATCTAACGGAGGGATCCTTCTGGTGTAAGGTGGGGCAGGGCTGGCCGTTGGTTCTTTCAAATGACCCTGGAGATTTGAGAGATATGGGTATGGGTCAATACCTATAGATACATTTTTAGGGGAATGACCATCCATAAATCCCAGCTATTTTGATGTTCACCAGGGCACCAGGGTTTTGACCCATAGCCATATTGTGCTGTTGAATCTGTTGTCTTAAGATGACTTAGACCTGATAGACGTGCTCCAGAAAGCCGCTCAAAAGCCTGCAGAGTTTTTAGGAGTTACTGTAAATCAATGCTGAGCTGAGCCGTAGAAATTTCGATGTTGGAATTTGGATGAATTTGGCATCGCAGGTTAGAGGCCGAGTGCCACTTGGCTGCCAAAGCTAGTGGGGCCCCGTTTTTTGAAGTAGAGATTCAGACTCGATTTCGGTTCCCGAAATCAGTTTTACATGGGACCTTAAATTGCGTTGTTTGAAGTTGGAAGATGTGGCTATGGATCAATACCTATACATACCATTTTTAGGGGGATGAACATCCATTTACCAGCTATTTTGATGTTCACCAGGGGTACAAGGTTTTGACCCATCCCCATGTTTGAATCCCACTGTACGTATTTGCCCCAGGGCTATATCTCATCACCTCAGTCACGTCTTGCACATTTGCTGTGAGTCCTCACTTTGATCGCGGCCATCTTTGGCTCATGGTGATTCTGGTGCCAGCCATTTGAATGGTAGCCATGTTGCGTCTCCTGGTAGCAGGGTGAGGGATGCTGGGTGCCAGGCAGCCAATCAAGAAAATTCTATCATATTCTATAATGTCAACCCGAAATATTAAGAAATCCTGGTTGATAAATTGAGGTGTCCTCCAAATCTCGAGTAACTCGCTGCTTAGATAGTGCCAAGGTACCTTTCAATTGAACAGCCAAGCCGGGTTTATCGATCGGGTTTGATATTTTCTTATCGATCCATATCGATCCACCAGTGCCGAGTTGTGTCGGGCCCTCTCTATGATAGGGTCTGATAGAGGCTAATCAAATATAGTAGTGTATATAGTAGTGTGAAAATAAATCATTATTATGATTATTACTACTATTATTATTGTTTATTGCTACTATTCATTACTATTGCTAATGTTATTTACATGATATACAATATTGTATAATTCAATATAATGTAGTATTATAATATGATATTATGTTATGTACTATAATATATTATAGTATAATATACTATAGTGACTATAGTATAATGCGATATAGTATAATGTAATATATGATATAATATATACAAATATAGTGTATAATATAGATTACTATAATATAATATACAGTATAATATACTATACTATATAATATAATATAATATAAAATATAATATAAAATATAACATAATATGATATAATATAGTATATTATAGTATAATATAGTATAATATATTATAATATATAATATAGTACAATATACAATATATAATATATAATATAATATATAATATAATATACAATATAATATATAATATATAGTATATAATACATAACATATATCATATAATATATAATATATAATATATAATCTATAATATATATTATATGTTATATATCGTATAATATACAATATGATTTAATACAATATAATTTGATATAATATACTATAATATTGTATAATTAATACATAGTATATAATTTGTAATATATAATATGTAATATACAATATGTAAGATATAATATACAACATATAATATGTAATATACAACAATTATACAAGTGATATATATCATAATATATAATATATAATATATAGTATATAATAGATCATATAACATATAAATAATTTATAATATATTTAATACATCCCTTCTCATATATCAGATATCATATATGAACTATATACTATGTATAACATGTACCCTCTGGTAATTTAACATAACTATGGAAAATCACCATTTTTAATGTGAAAATCCACTATAAATGGCCATTTTCAATAGCTATGTTAGTTTACCAGAGGGTACTATGTATAACATGTATACTATTTATCATCTTCAGATCTCAAGATTTCCATCACAGCCCCATTTCCGTTTCAGCCGGGACTGGAGGCGCGATTTTGGCCGTTTTCAGCCTCTCCGGCGTCTGGGCCGGGACGAATGAGGCGGAACCTTAGACTTTTGGAATTCTTGGAGATGTTTCTGGATTATTTGGATTTGTGATGAAAAAAATCGGAGGATTTATTGAGTTGTTCGTTCTGTCCACAGTTCGTTTTTTGATTCGGATGTTTCAGAGTTAGCCCTGTGATTGTCTTTCACTGATCCATAGTGGCTCTTTGGTGACTCACGTTTCTTGAGGAGGGTCAGACTGAGAATTCCGCAGCAACGATCCATACATCACCAGCACCTCAGTTTTCATGCCGCAGGTGGGCAAGAAGTTTCTGGAAGAAAATGCCAAGAGACCAGGCGTCAACGATCACCCCAGTCACCATCCTGGAGTCATCCAATTGAGCGAAACATGTTGAAGACAATTGAGCCACGTTTTGGATGCTAAGAAAAGGACATCGGCTGATTTCAATTGAATATATATATATAAATACAATTAAATCAGGCACAATTGGTTGAATATATCTATATACACGTACATATATATATATATATGAATGACCGAATTGTTTTCTGCATCTTGTATTTTCTGAGAGAAACATAGAAAACCAGTGAAGCAATTTCTTGAATCGCAGGTGTGATTACCTTGGAGTCTGGCTTGCAGTACAAGGTCTTGCGCGAAGGGCATGGCACCTTGGCCGCAGATGTCAAGGCACCACTGGGGCCACAGGACATGTTGATGATTTTTCCAAAGCACCCCCCCGAAAAAAAAATATAAAAAACAAAATCTCACAAGAATCGTACTACAACACTTTTCAATCTTTGTGGGGATTACTGTAGTCATGTTCGGAAATTTGTTTCTTCAACATCTTCAACCATTCAATTTTGCGCCTGGGAAATCGGAGACTCCTCGAAGGCCATTAGTGCCACATTTCTCATATCTTGTAATTCATAGAACAACCATCAACAACCGCCAGATTCTTGGCCAATGTTGCCCCCAAAATTTGAACCAATTCGCCGAGGCGACCGTAGTCCCCTGGCCGGCACGCCCTGCGAGTGTCATTATGCCGGCACCACGCCCAGCCTCACCCCGGACGCCATTGAAAAGGCCATATGGGATCTTGGGAAATGAATGGTGACATCCATGGAAATCCTCAACCTCCACCAAAAATGATGATGGGACTCGTCGAGGTGGGGTAGTACCAAACCCAAGAAATGGCGAATAGCAGAAATGATAATCCTTAATTAGGCCCTTAGGTCTGACCAATTTTTGACCCATCCCTTAATGGGTTGTCAAAAGATAGGGGATTAGCCAATTTCTGGCAATTTTCATGAGACATGTGAGAAAGCATGGTGGTTTTAGAGTAGATACAGAATTTTCAATCAAACTCAGACGGGGATTAAAAAACAGAGGAGAAACCATGACATGATGAGACAACATCGGATATGTTTTGGTGTTTTCGAACAAGACTTTATGATGTTGTGCTGATAAGCTTGCTAATTGGGATGACAATCCAAGGACAGGATGTCAGAAATCAATGGGCATTTATGTGCATTTTTGTCAGCTCATATCCTGGACAAGTGGGGAGTGTATCGGACAAAAGGTCACAAGTCTCAAACCAAGTTACGGTAAACCCAAGAATAAACAATCCCACTAACCAACCATTTGGGATTTTACATCATCCTAAATATAGGGCAATTCCCAATAATATATAATCCCCTCGGCATATCTTGCAGCCCTCAAGAAAGGTTGTTTTCTTCTAGCTGTAGTGTGGCTTCAAACAGAGCCTGTAGTGGCCCACAATGGCCCACATCAACAGTGCGAACGTCCAAGGAACGAAAGGTGGCCGGACTTTGTATGATGTAAAGCATGCAGAGACCCAAGAAGTCTCAAATTTTCTGTACCCCAAATCTGAGACATCCAAAAATGAGAAGGCTTTGGCTGAGCCATGATACCCTCTGGAGATCAACCAGGATCCACCATCCTTTTCGGCGAGGCCGATGAAAGCGAGTGGAACGAGTTCGATTCCTCCTACCGGCGCGGGAGTCCCACCAGCTTCGCACCGAATCAGGTAGGGAGACCTGTTCTCATCCAAGATGGCAACAGATAAGACATGTTGAAACATGTTGAAACATGTTGAAACAATAAATGAAACATTAAACATGTCATTGATTCTATTGATGATATATATTGATTGCCCATTTCACATGGGAACTTTAAGGGATTGATTCATATTGAGTCATTGATGATATATATTGATTGCCCATTTCACATGGGAACTTTAAGGGATTGATTCATATTGAGTCATTGATGATATATATATTGATTGCCCATTTCACATGGGAACTTTAAGGGTCAAAAAATCACCTGGTTTGCATTGGCCGATCTTGGTGGCCGCCTTGGCTGCCACAAGGTGATTAAGGGCTGGACGGAAGCAATGCAGCTGATGGTGGAAGGATTCTCGACATCTCAAGGGAGGGAGGAACCACAGCAGTCGAAATCTCGGCAACTTATGGCCCCTTCTACGTCCTGAAACGTCCTGAAAACGTCCTGAAATTTGAAGCCCCTAAATATGATATTTATAATATTTTATAATGATCGGATTAATGCCTCTGGTTTTTTTGAACGGAGCCGATGATTCTCGTTGGTGTCTCCCACTGACTTTACCACATCCGACCGGGGCAATCCTCTCGATCGATCCCAGCGGGTCGATGACGGTGATTCGGTGATGACGGATACCAGCGACCGGTCGATGCTATAGGATGCTATAGGTAGGAATCCGGCATAGGAATGTCATAAGGTCACTGATGCATACTGATGCTATTGGTGGTTGGTAAAAATGTTGGTTGGTTCCAGTTCCTCAAAAGCCAAAAACCTTCCAGTCCATCTTCCAACAGCTCATCCCAGCGACAGCACCTCGGCCAAGGTGACAAGTGGCAGATGTACATTCCATCTGAGTTGGGCTATGGAGACGGAGGAACCGGTGTCCTCCTTGGCATGTCTTCCTCAGAAATTCCGGGGAGCCAGTTGGAGCTACAAATTGAGTTTCCCAGCCAGATGATAGCTTTGGAATTTGGTTGTTTTGGGGGACGAAGTTTGTTTCGGATCCTAGCATAATTCTACGACTGGATGGGTTCGAACATGTTGGGATGTTGCATCGGACATCCTTCTGGATCCCTATAGAAATTAAATCTCGCAAAATCTTATTCAATGGGCAAGGCATCAAAATGTCATAACTAATATCCATTTATAGCTGTTTTTGTCCACATTTTCCACACAATGGGATTATTGCCAGGCCAAGATCAAGGGAGGTGATGTGCTGATCTTCAACATGGAGACACTGGGTTGATTCGGCGCTTTTTTGGCGGCAAGATCTCGCGGCAAGATCTCAGGAATATGAGGATGTTTGCTGAAATTCTCAAATGTTGAGAGTTTCTTGAGCCCGTTTCTATCGCGGAACATCCAAAAATCATTAATTAAACATCTTTGCGATTTCGATCTTTGAATGGCACTCTAATCTGTGAGTCTGTGAGTTACGCGGTACATTAGCCACCGGTAGGATGCACAAGGTTCGAATGTGCTCTAAATGCAGACCTCATCCGACGTTCCTTTCATATTAACGGGGGCAGGCTGTAGGCAAACTTGAGAGGACTCAGCAACTTTTTTGCCCATCATGGTTACAGTTGTCTTGCACTAGTCATCAAAGATCATCAAAGGTTTGAAGGCTTGTCACCTTGGTTTGAGCTTCCCCTGGGCAGTGAGGATCGTGAATATCAAGGGCGACACCAAGCCCGCCGATCGATGTGATGTTGAGACTCTGAAGGGACCCTCGGCGAAATCCAGATGGCTAGGATGGCCCATTCCACCATATTCCACCGCGCATGGCCGGGCCAAACATCGAAACATATCGATACAAACATCGAACGGATTCGAAGGGAATCAGATGGAGTAAGATTCGGTTCAGGATTTCAGCGCATTGGAAAGGGACAACATCAATTCAGATATCAGGTTGTTGCATAGAAAATTGAAATCGGATTTTGAATATATTTGAATATTGTTCCCCAACCACACAGTTTGAGATAAAGACATATAAAGACTACAAAACGAAATACGAAGGATACACGTTCGGTGAGAGAAGCTATCCTTGTAGATCGCGGAAGAGAAATCTCGGAATCGACCCATGGCTGGTGATGTTCTTAAGGTTGCATTGGATGTTTTTATCCATCAGAGGTGTTTTTCAGGAAATATTGGATAATATTGGATAATATTGGATAATATTGGATAATGTGGAAAACCCAATGATAAAACCATGATAAACCATCCCCAAATCACCATTTTTATTGTATAACCATGGATAAACCATCCCCGAATGGTAGGATTATGGTATTGGTTTTCCCAGATTACATTGGAATTTTCTGCCTTCAGATACCGACAAAGTCGTCGGTGAACCCTGGTCCCAGGCTGCAGCGATAAAGCCAAAAGCTATTTGGAGAAACAGAAAGCCGCCACCGCGGAAAAGCGCAAGGCTGGGTCCGAACTGGGTGCGAACAGTGCCCTAAGTAGGTCAAGATTTTGAACCACCAAAATGGATAGTTTTTTGTGGCTTGGTTACGTGGTAAAGCCAATAACTTCAAAAATGAACCATCCCAAAATCACCAACCATGGGGTCATCTTACATCATCTCACCCTCACCCAGATGAGTGGCTGGTTGACCCAATATACCGACAGCGGGGTAACCAGACGGGGACACGGGGACACGTTGGCACATACAACATATACGGCCAAAGGGCAGAAACAATAATCATATATGATCATATATGCTTAAGTTGTTTGCTTTCAGACAAGGGGTTGTTTCCTGAAAGAGCGCGACATTTCATTTGACTTGCTACTGCTATTGGAAGACCTGTTGCCCTATGGGTGCCTTTCCAGCCATTTTGGCTTCAAACACACTGGGGTCGAGGGCTCAACTCCCTTCAGGTCCGGTTTGTTTGTTGTCCTTCTTTGGTTCATTCATCTTCTTCTTTTCTTCTTCTTCTTCTCCTTTGTCTTCTTCTTCTCTTCCTTCTGTTCTGCTTCCTCTTCCCCTCCTTGCTCTTCCAAAAAGTGTGGCGAATCCAAAGCCAGGCGGAGTTGAAGAGATTAGAGGCACCGAGTCGCCAAGCCCCGCCCCGCACCGATGGAGCCGGTGGATGAAATGATCGCTGTTTCATGCTGTATCCCGAATCTGGATGGGTCGAAACTATGCACAACCATGTTCATCAAATTCAAACCAGTTCAAAACCATGGTGACTCTGTGAATTTTCCACTTAAGAACAATTTCGAATGTCTGAGGATCCAATTTTCACCGCAGTTTGGGCTGTTTGATTTTGACATTTTGACCCCTTTTTGTTGACCTTTGATTAGGAACCGGGGCCAAACATCCCAAAACTGGGCGGTTTCTGTGAATTTTGCCGGAGGCTTACCGCATCGACATCCCACAACATCATTGGTGAGATCAAACCACGTCAGTTCACTTTGGAATGGTTTTGGCAAAACTTACAGTATTCCATTCACCGATTCACCAGTCATTGGAAATTCCAGGGGTCAAAACCTAGGGTCCTTTGCGATTTAACGGCTAGATATGGGCCTTGAAATGCCGAGTTGCTATTGGAATTGCTAGGTTTCGGATAGGGCCTCATTGCCCAAACAGGGGGTCCCCCACTGTGCAGGGCATGAAGGGCAATGACATGAAAGAGGACAACAAGAATTGGTTGATGCGCCTTGTTAAGAAATGACGGATGGCACAACTGGAAAGGGGACGTGCCGTAGATTTGGGTGAGTGCTGATGGTCCTCAAGTTCCATCAAGCAAATTGTTTTGGCCCTTGTGTGAGTTTGGCATCTTTTATAACTTTTATATCTGTTATAAGCACATGTGATCAGAATTAGGTAAAGCCCGCCATTCAAAAAAGGGCAAAGCTATGTTCCAACTCAAAGGAATCGAGGCTACACCGTTTTCAGACAATCCCATGTTCTTTTTTGTCGAACGGCACCAGTGTGCTGTTGGAGCATGGAATGGCTGAAGTCCAGTCTCAGATATAGAAGGAGCATCCAATATGTGTGCAAATCACCATAAATGTGTATGATTATATTTTACTATATATATATAATATCATATATATATACATACAATTATTGCCTATTGGTATTATATATTTTCTATTATTATCATGATGCATTAATGCCAATACAGATACCTATCAATACTCGGAGCAATTCTATGTGAAACTCCACGGATCATCCAGCGATCGTCGTGGTCCTGACCGCCAGGGCACGCATCAACCTCCTGAAGAAAATGTCGAAGGCTCCAGTTGTCCCTCCGATATCGTTGGGATGTGTTGGGAGCAAGCCTGAAAATATGGGCTTAGAAATTCATGAAAATTCACATTTTACATCATCTTACCCAGAAACATAAGGAAAACAACTGGAACACATGGGGATTCAACCTGATTTAGAATTGGCGACTGTCATGCAATGCATTGGCGAAGCCGTCAAGCAGTTTCTCAATCGCTTCAGCTGCCACAACTAGGAACTGGTTGTGTTGTCTCATGTTGTGTCCTTGGGTAGCCGTAGACCTCCACTGGTTTCCCCAATGTTAAAGTGTGGGCCATCCAGATCAACCGTTGCCCCCTTGGTTCAGGACGAGCTTTGAGCTGGTCCCAGCCCAACAGAGGCCATGATACGAGGAACTGCTTGAAGCGAAAGATATTGGCACCTGGCATCCAGATTTGCTTGGTGCTTTTTGCCAGACATGTTGAGATATTACAATATCGTCGACATCATATCAGTACCGTGACCGGCAAGAGCCGAATCTTTGTTTTTACCGTCTTTCGCTTAAGTCAATTTTGACGCTAACACAGCCCGTTTCGTCTCCACGTTTTGCAACTCGTCTCCGCGCCAGAGGGACCCCCCCCCAAAAAAAACCGGAACGATCCGCACCGTGTGAAAAAGGTAGCTCGCTGGTCGACTGGTGGGATCGTGGCCAGTGGGACCTCTATGCTCTTTGACCACTTGTTTTTTGACTAGCCAGAAAAACAGCCATAAATAGCAAAGGGAGACAAACATATTCTGGATTTCAGAATAAAATAGGATTTCTTTCTGGATTTCAGAGGTCCTATGATCAAAAACCCATGGTGAATCTGCTAATTAGATCCGAAAAAGACTCTGCTGAAAAAGACTCCACAGGTAGCCATGACTGGTGGATAGATTCCTCAGATATCGAAGCTGTAATGCCAATGTTTTGCTGGGGCTTTCCCCAGCAGTTGGGAGAAATATGGAGCCTTGGGATTGCCATTTATTTGGCTTTGTCTGAAGCTATTTGGTATCCCAAATTTGGACGCTTCTCATGATTTCTCTCATTGAAATAGCAATTTGGGGGTCTTCAGACTTCAGACGCACCAATTTTGTATTTACACCATATCCGAAATCACAAGTTGAGTGCTTGTTAGTTGAGTCGACTTAATTCAATGTTTTTATGGGGTTATGTCGGTGGCTCTTCGCCCTGCAGTCAAATTAAGCCTGTTTCTATGGGATCACAGCCCACTACTTTCATAGCTTCCGGCAAACCAACATAGATCAAGGCATTCTGATCAGGATTTCCTCAGTCAATGATTTGTTACCTTCTTGGAAGTCCACCACGACTGGGGAATCGACGAACGGAATGTCTCTCATTTTTTTGGGGTTCCTTACAGACCTTACAGCAAATCCATGCAAATCCGAGAATTTATATGGAAGTTCTTGAATTTTTCTTTGGCTTCCAGCAAATCCACATCGTGATTCCATCAGGGTACCCTCTGGTAATTTAACATAGCTATTGAAAATCACCATTTTTAATGGGAAAATCCACTATAAATGGCCATTTTCAATAGCTATGTAACAAATTACCAGAGGGTATCCATCCCCAAAGATCCAAGAACCGGAGATGAGGCACTCGGTGCTGTTGTGCCCGGTGGTGCGCGAGATGCGACAGCAGGTGACTGGACAGGGGGAGAGGCGGAGAGGCAAGGCAGATAGTTTGAATATGTTTGAATATAATACAAACATAGACTAAAATAGTTGTGGTATGTGCTTTTTTTTTGGGGTAAATTAAATTTTGACCCATACCAGTATCCATATAACCACGAAAAACAGGGATTTTTGTGTTTTTTTTGTAGCATAGAATGATATTAACTGTGATTCACCAACACCCTGAGGTGGCTTTGTCCCTGAAAGTTGGGCTGGGGTTTCCCATAATTTTCAGACAGAACCAGGTTTTTTATGCTAGAGAACGGTAGAGGAATAGCTGAAGATAGCTGAGGAAGTGACCATCTGGTTGGTCATCGGGATCCGCATGGGGATGACAGACCAAGCATATCGTGTTTGTAGGAAAAGCCGGCAACAAAAACGCCGCAGTTTTACCCGGTTTGTAAATGGCAATGCGGGGGTATATACTACAATGGGCCAAAGGATGGGCTGACTACCTCTGGCTTCTTCTTTTCACAACTTTTGGCTTCACATAGGCTGGCTTCTTACCAGCTAATGACTTCTTGCAAGCTGCTGGCTTCTTGCAAGCTGCTGGCTTCTTTTGGTGGTGGCCTTTCCAGGCCAGAGCTGGCTAAGCTCATCACTGCAGTCTCTGCTATAGAGCTCTGAATGGATTGAACAGACACCTGGGAAGCCAGGCAAGCTTCCACAGGTGAATCTTCAGGTGTTTCGTCGTGGCAAGCACCTCAGTAAGAACTTTGTCTGGAGATGTTTTTGACCTCAGCCTTTTTAACTTTGGCCTTTCCAGGCCAGCCTCTACAGGCAAAGCTGGTTTGCAGTTGAAACATGCCACCAGCTCTTTTAACCAAGGAGGCATCCTAGCCCCAGTGGTGCTGTTCTTCATTTTCTTTCTGGCATATTTTCTGATGGCTTGAATCTTTTGCAGAATGGCATCCACCCCCTCTTGGCCAAGTTGTGGAACAGTGTTCATCCACAATTTCTTCCATTGTGGCTTGTTCCCTCCTTCTGCCAATGGGTACCAAAGCTTCAAAGTCTGCAAATGCTTTTCTGCAATTTCTTCCACAGACCCTTGCCACTCAGTTTCTGTCACACCACTGGGGAAGCAACCTCCAAGGATGACAGCCATTTTGTTGGTGTCACCACTTGTCTCTTTCTCAGCCTGGCTTTGTCCTAGGCCTTGCCCAGGCCAGGCTGCTCCAGCCACAAAACCGGCAGCACCCCTTTGAACAGAAGCAGTGGAGGAACTGGCATTGGAAGTTCTACTTCTTCTAAGAGCTGATGTAACTAGCATGGCTGCTTGAACCACAAACTGCAAACCATTATAGCCACCAAAATCTGTCAAAACCGACCAAGATTTGAGGCTGGTACCAGCCTAAAATTTAAGCTGGTTTAAGGCTTCAACCCACCAAGATTTGAGGTGGGTACCAGCCTCAAATTTTGGCTGGTTTCAACAAAAACTACAAACATGTCACCAGCCAAAAAACAAGGCTGCCAGCCTCAAATTTTGGCTGGTAAATTTGGAGATTCTGCCAGCCCAAAAACTAGGTGGTTTTGATTCCCAGGGACTGCAACTACCAACTACACGACACTACACGACAACTACAACTACACTACTTTACACTACAATACACTTGACTACACTACACTATACCACGCTACCACGCTACAGTACACAACACTACAGTACACTACACCGATTGCACCCCACCACAAGTACAACTGCAACTGCAACGACACTACACTAATTACACTAGTTACACTAATTACACTACAGTACAGCTACAACTTACAACTACAACCCCACTACGCTACAACTACAACTACAACTACAACTACCACTGCACTGCACCACACTACATCCAGCAGTTGTGGTGAGGTGACCAGTGCAACCATTGCAACTGCTCCAGGAAACACAACTCCAACCACCTTTCGGTCCATCAGTGGATTCGCTCTGCCATCCGTGAGTCACAACAACCAACCCTTCCTATAGGTTTCCTATCTTTGAAACTTCCGCCACCGCCTTGCGCGGTACTACTGGTAATCTCTCCCACATATTCCATATCATATATCATATACGTATATAAAAGTACACTATATAAATATATAATATACCATATATATATATATATATCATATATTTATTATTTATCATACACATATATATATATATATCCCGGCATATCCCAGCCATGATAATCCTTATTTTCAGCAAAGCTATGGCAACCCCCAAAATGGTGGATTTCTCTGTGGTTTTTCCAGTCGAACCTCGAGCAGGTGTGGCCTGCGGACTCAGGACGACATAGTGATGAGGGAGAGGCCATGTTTATTTGGGGTTTCCATAAATGGGGGTATCCAAAATGGTTGGTTTATAATGGAAAATCCCAATCTAAAATGGATGAGAACTGGGGCTGCCCCTGTGACTCAGGAAACCACCATTTTGGAATGAGATATAATCCACGCCGAGGAGAATGGGACATATAATGAAAAAATGGCGCCCGGAGGGGGCTGGACTCCGAAATAGGATGCCGAACATGGACTCCAAGATTGCGCCCTTGATATTTGATGATATTTGCGAATAACATGGACTCCATGCACGAACCCGAAAGTAACCTAAAGCGAGATGAGTTTCCATCCAAAATCAATGAACATGATCAAAAGCACGATAATTGGGGTCGCAAAAAATGCCATTATCATCCCTTCAAGAATTATCCCGTTTAGTTCGATGATTATCCCATATCTCCAACTCGCCTAGAGTGAGAAGCTTCGTGCTGGGAAACCAACCATTTGGGTAAGGTTTTCTGTGGTTTTCCTCAAGCTGGATAGAGTCATGCAAACATGGTTTCGGACAGTTTTGGATGTTTTTGGCAAACACAAAGTTACTGCCCCAGAATTTGCAGGATGTGGGTAGTGGTGTCACAAAAAACTGACCTTTCCGTGAGGAGTTGATTGGGGGGCCACATTCATGAAGCTATTGATGTCGTTTTCCCGACGCCAGAAGGTCAAAAACATGGTTTAACGTTTTAACAGATACAGTTTGGTGAAAAACCACCATATTTTTTCCTCAGGCTTCACAGATTTTTTTTGCAACATTTTGCAACCAGGTTTTTCAGGATTTTCAACATGACATTGAAACACCATTTTGAACACCATTTAATGTCAACCCTGGATTAATAAACCCCAAACGGCTCTTTAATTGGGAAGGTACCATTAAAAAAGTATCAAATCATGACTATTGGGGGAATACCCTAATGAAAAAACCATGGTTTATTTTCATCCGTGGTTGACATTAAACACCATTGGAAACACCATTGGAAGGCACCTTTATTGGGAATCCCAGTGGACGATCTGCTAGATCGATGGGAGCTGGAGGCGGGCACGGGCGGGCGGCGAAAAAGGGCACGGAGAGTCGGGTGTTAAACGTTTGGCTCAAAAGGAACATAAGATCTGGATATGGTTTTTCCTGTTATGAACATAACATATTACAAGGGATTTTCCATGATTTGGTTCCTTTCAAACCAATCGTTTTGAAAGACGTAACTTCTTGGTGTTCTTCGAATTTCTTCCAATATTTTGACCATTTTGGACTTTTCGGTCATATGTTTGGTGGCTCTTTTTCTGGCCATCAACAACCCGGCAACGGTGACGAAGGTGGAGCCTCTGTTGGGCGAAGCAGCGCTGCAGGACGCCCGGTTAGCCAGGCGATCGGGGGTTCCGATGCGGTGACGGTGCCAGGTTTCAACATGAATGGAACCAATGGAACCGGAAAAACATGTTTTTTTCCATGTTTTTTCATGTTTTTTTGGTGATTTTGTTGAAGTAGGACTTTTTTGGATAGCCATTTTCCGGGTTCCAGTGTGTTTCATTTGGGGCGGGTTTCAACCATTCGAAAGCTCAGATTGTCGTAACCCGAGATGTTCTGAGATCGAAGGTAGACCCGCCATACAGATACCCTAACTACCATCCGCATCCATTGGAGGGGTTCAATCTATCCTCTGGTGATGGATTGATCATGACGTTACACTCGGCAACGAAAAAACCAACAGGACAGGTCTGTGGATTTTAGATGTTTCAGAACAGCAGTAGCAAGGCTGGTGTCCGAACTTAGCAATGGCCATCGCTCGGGAGTGGTTGGAAAATGATAGGAACTGACAACTCTTTCGTTTGATCTGAACAACATCATTGGTTGGGTTTCAGCAACTAGTCAGGAATTATATGTAAGCCATGATGATCATGATGGGTTTCAGCAGTTTCTATCAATTTGTCTGCAGTTTCCTCTGACTTTGTCCTGGGTTTTTTCGTCCATGTCCAAGGCGTGCCAAGCGCAAAGCGCAACGCGGCTCCACCAGAGAAGCAATGCAGGCACTGCTACCAGCTACCATCAAAGGATGGGAATTTCATGGGGATTTAGTGGGAACATATGGGAAAATCTGAGATAATGATGGGACAACAGTGTTTTTTTCATATGAATGGGATAACAATGGCATTTTTACCATCCAGTTTAATCCAGGGTCGAGCAGTTAGGAGGCAAATCATGGCAAAAAAACAGGAATTTTCATGGGATAATTATGGTATATTCTGGGATGGATATGGGAAAATATAGCGATTAATGTAATAAAGCATCCCTAAGTGGGGTTTCTGATATTGAAATTATACATGATATACCACCAGAGCTGGGATGTCGATTCAAGGCCTCCACCTACATAGTTGCTGGGATGGTTTATGATTGAGTTTACCGTATAGGTAAAAAAATTCTCAAGACTCGTAAAGATCCTATTTTGGGGGTTACCTCATTTTGACCTGCATCCATTTTTTGAGGTGTGTGGCAGCAACATTTGGGATATAGCCAGCAAAATTTGGTATGCGTGGCCCTCACATTCTTGGCATAAAACTGCTTGGTGCTTTCAAATATTCCACCCTTGGGGAATCAGCCGTGGCAATGGGACATCTATAAATGGAGGAACAAAAATCGCCGGGGAAAATCATGGATGATGATCCCCGAGGACGAGCAGGGTTTTTTCAGCAGGTTTTCCAATGGTGGGTCTGGGGCTGTCACCTTCCATCCAACTGACATCGTTTTCGGTTACGCAGATGTGCAGTTTCAGGAGATTTTCTTTAGTATGAGATGCTCAACTGACCTGTGGGGATCTCACCGACAAAAATCTGGATCCCACCAAGTTTGATGCCAGATGATAGTCATGGTTGTCTTGGCTGTACAACTCAGAAGGGATTTGGGGAATCTCTGAGGTACAAATCAGACAGGTGAGCGATAGATCTCAAATCATTAAATGTCTGTTGTACTCAGATGTGTCACTGTTTGGTAGATCAATGCCAAAAACATCATTTTTGGGCTTGTGAAACGATGATGGTCATCATGATGAAATCTAATCCTTGACCAGGGGTTTGCGGGGGGATGTGATTTTTGAGGGGTTGCACCGCACAGATCTACCAGCAACAATGACTTTCCATGCTGACAAGAGCACCAGATCTAACTTGTCAGTAGGAAGGCAGATCAAGAGATGGATAGCTTTGGTATAGAGTTTAACTCGGGCTCTTGACATGCAACCTTTGGTGAATCCGGTCGTTGTTCTTTATTTGGTCGGAGAGGATGATATCATTCAGCATCTTTCGTAGCTAGATGATATCAATGGTTGGCTGTCTCCATGATTCACGAAATTCCAAGAACAAATCCAAGAACTCATCGTGAACATGTCGTGAAAAGCTCAAAACAACATTCAAAATCATTCAAAAACGGGAAGTTCCAACCAACATCAACCAACAATTCCTTTTGAGGACAAAATCCAAAAGGAAAATCATGGGAAAATCTCAATCACCCTAGATGTCAGAAAACCCCCAAAAACTCCATCCAAAAACTCACCGCGCTATGGCACCCGACAGCCTCCCGGTTCTCCTTGGCGATTCGCGGCGTGCCTCGTGGCGGCCTCCCAGCCGTGCTTCCGGAGCAGGATCCACCACAACCACGTCCAGTGGTCACCAGGCGGATTCGGAACTGGGAAAATCTCGTTGGTTGCGAACGGGTCATCTATATAACACACCATATATGATCACTTTGACTTTACCTGCGTTTCTGCACTGCCAACTGCCACCCTGCTCGTATCCTCCTGGAGCTGGCTTTCGTTCTGCACAGCTTCGGTCCAAGCTGGAGTCCAAGGACCGTGTCGCAGGGAGTATCAATGTCCATTCTGCCAGCAACATGTGAACAGCACTATCGCAAGTGGGCAAATTGATCATAGGTATGCGTGCGGAAAAAAGTTCCGTGTCGCTGGCCGCAATGTCACCGGCTGCATGCACAAGCACGCATGCCCAACCTGCGGAACAATTGTTTACTCAGAACAGGAAAGGGGCCAAATCAAAGCGACGCACAGAAACACTGCTGGACGAACATGCCGCCGGGAAAGCTGGTACGCGACGACACCGCTACACTAACAACAACTGCCAACTGCCAACTGCCAACTTGCCTGCGTTGTCTTGCAGCTGGCTTTTGTGCTGCACGGCTCCGGTCAAGGGACCCGCTCGCAGGGCTAAAACACCATGGCAGTGAAGGACGGATTGGGCCCGCGGCCCGTAGCCCAGAGTGCCAAACGTTACTTTCTGAACCGACTAGAAACTAGCTCCAAACCTTGACTTTACCTGCGTTTCTGCGTTGTCTTGCAGCTGGCTTTTGTGCTGCACGGCTCCGGTCAAGGGACCCCCTCGCAGGGCTAAAACACCATGGCAGTGAAGGACGGATTGGGCCCGCGGCCCGTAGCCCAGAGTGCCAAACGTTACTTTCTGAACCGACTAGAACTAGCTCCAAACCTTGACTTTAGCTGCGTTTCTGCGTTGTCTTGCAGCTGGCTTTTGTGCTGCACGGCTCCGGTCAAGGGACCCGCTCGCAGGGCTAAAACACCATGGCAGTGAAGGACGGATTGGGCCCGCGGCCCGTAGCCCAGAGTGCCAAACGTTACTTTCTGAACCGACTAGAAACTAGCTCCAAACCTTGACTTTACCTGTGTTTCTGCACTGCCAACTGCCACCCTGCTCGTGTCCTCCTGGAGCTGGCTTTCGCCGTAGCCCAGAGTAACAAACGTTACTTTCTGAACCGACTAGAAACTAGCTCCAAACTTTGACTTTAGTGCGTTTCTGCACTGCCAACTGCCACCCTGCTCGTGTCCTCCTGGAGCTGGCTTTCGTTCTGCACAGCTTCGGTCCAAGCTGGCGTCCAAGGACCGTGTCGCAGGGCTAAAACACCGTGTCTGTCCAAAGTTCTCTCTTCGCCCCTTCTTGCATCTTGTTGCTAGTAAGGCCTCCTCTGACGCGCTCCCCCTGCTGGCGGCAGGGGTCGGCGGATATAGTCATATATAGTCATACTATATATATATATATACAAGATTATATATATATTTATTTTATTCTAAATATAGTTTGTACTATGTTTTCCTTTTAGTATAATATATTATACGATATATATATATATATATGTATTAAATGTTTTATATTACATTGATTATATATAATGTACTATATACGATAAATTATACATGTTATATATTCTTATATTATATTATATATGTTATACTATACATTATTTGATATGTATTGTTTTATATTATATTATATTGTATTATATTATATTATACTATATTATATTATATTTTATATTATATTATATATTTTATATTATATATTAAATATTATATATTAAATATTATATATTATATTATATTTTATTATATTATATTATACTATATTATACTATATTA